CATATCAACATGTAGAAAGTGCAAAGCATCAAACTCGACCACTCTGTTCATTATACTCTTTACGGATGCAACTAAATATCATTCTATCTTATGTTCGGATGTATCTATCTATCGGCTAACTAAATCACTTTTTTTAATATCGCAAGGACAAAGTTACAGGCAACATTCAATAGGTAATAAATAAGAAGTCGAAATTCCGCAATAGAATTTTCCCACAACTTCGTGCTACTGTTTCGCATCAGTCAGTAATGATGTAAAACCATATTACATATTTCATAAAAAATCGATACTTGTATCTGTTATGTTTTGATTTCGAATATTACAAAAAAAACTAATCGATTTATTATTTGCATCGGTTTCATTTAAAAAGTAATAAACTGCGTGAAATATATGAAATTAATCCATTTGGATACTTGTTATGAAATTGTCATCTCAGTGCCATTAATATGATTATATGAGCTGAGATCGTTTTAATGATTATTTATATTTATCGAAAGTGACGTATCATTGTTACGATACTAAGATGTAAAGATGATTTCTCATTTCTATAGAAACACCTGAGGTGAAAGTAAAAGCAAATATATCACTTCCAAAGAATACCACGAAGGGTAACCAAAAATATTACCTATTGGTATTCATTTAAAGCTCTAATTTCAATATTATTAATATCACACAAGGTTGGAACATTCAATATATTTTATTCTATAATGTCAAGGCTGTTGGAACTCTGTAACAATCAACGGCGTAATCAGATATAAATAGGAGAGTTTAAAATTTATAAAAACAATAAATATCTTAAAGAAAATATTGGTTTAACATAAGTATTAACTCTGGAAGCTTGAGCCCTTACATAAACAGATCTCTCTGCCTACCCCCCTAGGTTACGTGGGTGAGTATAGTTATAAGTTGTTGTCCATATCTAAGCGATTTTCAATAATTTGTTCCTAAAAATATTTTACATTAAACATTTTCAACCTAAAAGAATTCTGCTAAAATTTGTTTAAGTTCTATATTTTATTTTATTGACAAAAAAAATACAGCGGATTTTTATATAAAATTATAGTGACGCTAAAAACACACAATGTGAGCTATTTTATAGGTCACAAGATACGTATTAATAATGAAAAAATACCCTGATACTCTATTAATAATATAGCTATATAAATAAAAATTTTAAATGCCGACAACCACGTGCATGTCGTTCAAGAGAATATTTTTTAATAAAATGAACATTTTATAATCTTATTATATAAAATTTGTCATTATGATCCTAAAAATTTATTATTCATTCTATGTAAAAAAGTAATATAACTATTCTCATAACTACTATAACTGTTATTAAATACGAGTATTGATGTAATTAGGAAAACGTTCCGCTCGGTCCCAAAATCAATCATCGACTATGTTGTTTTCCTTCGGAAATCCGACAGTTGGCGTCTATTTTCATTTCCCACATATATATTTAAAGAAGGCCAAAGAAACCAACAATTATTTGCGACAAAAAATAACAACATGCCTAAATACCGCTATTTAGAGTTCCGTTCCTTTTTATAATTTCAATCTAACTGGTTTTACAATTAATAAAATAATAGCAACGGACATCGTGACAAGGCACAGGCGCGGAGATACGCCGGAACACGTAAAAAGCGAAAGTGAAGGTCGAACAGAGTCGAAGACGAGTGTGCCGCCGCGACGACGCAAAGCGCGACCGTCACGCGACGACCACTGCACGGACACAAGACGACTACAAACCAACGTAATAAATTGAAATAGAACATTTAATTTATATTGAGTATTTAAGTTAGAATATCAACTAAGTAGTTCTTGAATTAAAAAATCTACAATTCCGATTGAATGTTCAAAATTGTTCTATCCATTTATATCAGGTATATGCGGATGTTTTCAACTATTCCACTAATAATTATTTTACTATTAATATATTGGAGTTAATATGTTAATATAAATGTAATAATTAATTCGCCAATAGATAATAGGAATTGGCAGAGCTTTTATAAAATCAACCTTTAATTCTAATTAAAATTCTTTGATTGAATTCGTAAAAAGATTTTAAATAAGAATTTGTATCAAGAATCATAAAATCAAGGTTAAATTATTAGCATAAAAATATTCGTAAGATATAGACAAATAATTTGTATACCGTAAAATCTATTTATTATGACTCTATTTATCTCTATCAATCGTTTATTATAAAGATTTCTTTTCGTTTAAAATTCCTCTTAAAAATGTCGAATATTAAAACTCGATTATACGTCATATCACTTATTGTGACCCATTTTTAATACATTGTACAGTGACATATGATAAGTCCAAATAATTTTGGCAATGTTTGACTACCGCATAAACTATAAAACTACTACTACTATTAAAAATTGCAAAATTAATTTATAAACTGTTTATCGTAATACCGGAAAAAGAACAAACAAACAGTACTGATTTTATTAATAAAAAATTACATTATACGTAATTACTACGCACATTTTTTTAATTATCTCTATTTTCTTTAAGTCTATCAAAATAAATATACTAACAAAAACAGGAGATTTTTTCTATAAATTTCTTGTTATTTCTCTTCGATATTATTATAAATGGTTTCAACTGCACTTATAAATATTCAATACTATATAAATTGTAAAATCAAAAAGTTGCTCAAAATAAAAGAAACTAATAATAGATACATCGAATAGTATGATGTAAACTTAAAAATAAAAACGTTTGGACGGTGAACGTCACACTGCGTGTAATTCTTGAATGCTTTCACACGCGTTTATAAATTCGAATCATTAGTTACGAAATGTGTTCAGTAAACGAATGAACGTGGTGTAAATATCTATCGATGGTTACTTTCTTTTCAAGTACAACACTTTATTAGTGTTACATAGCCGAATCTGTAACGTAGAGAAATTCCAAATCTGTTTTGTATTCAAATACAACCTAAAGCGTATTACGCATCACTAGTGACAAAATTTAAGCCGTGTTTAAATTACCATTTCGATAGCGAAAGCAATATATATATAATCGTACAGCCGTAGTCCGGAATGTTGAAGTAGCGCAATTAATAATTGTACGGTTGAATAATCGCGCTTTGTTTTTTAATACATTAAAAAGTTATGCGAAAACTTTGTTTAGAATAATTAACCTACTTTCCTACATGTCAAGCGCAAAAAGAACGAAAATAAAGTAATAACTATAATAATGGTGTATTCAATTTAAACCAAATAGCAATTCTTTGTTCCGAACGTGCAATTCAACGATATTTATTTGCAAAAACTAAAAAAATAACAATACTCAAAAAGTAAAAACACTTGAAGCAAATTATATAATTTAAAGCTTTTTATAATTGTATTGTGTTGTTTTAAGGGTATTTCAAAAATTATCTCAATTAACTATTGATTTAATTATTTACAAAGATTTTATTTCTTCATGCAATTGACTAACTTTTGTCTATGACTCTCTCCACACGGAATTTAAACAATTTAATTAGTAGCCTATGCGTTCCTATTATATATTAACTGTTCTGGAGATGCCTAGCAAAACTTGTAGCGGAATAACAATCATCCAAACTTTTGCAATTAAAATATTTTAAAAATATGCAAGTAATACACTTTTAAAAGAAATTTTAATACTACAATAATAGTATACAGCCTCCGTGCAATGTATACAAAATAACATATAAATCCTTGAGAATTAAAGTGGCTTAAAGTTAGATAAATGAAACGTACATCTAAATTTACACGTAAAGCGCCAAATCACAAGACGTGTGAACTTTCCTAAATTATTAAAAGTCGTAGACAGCGTTGTTGTGTCATCGTATCTATACACCATACATCTATTGCTGGACTTGGCACTTCAGTGCAAGAAAACAAGCGCGATGCCCCCTATTGTGTTTTCGAAAAGCCATTTAGCGCCTTGTGATGCAAACCTTAACAGAGAGAGTTTGACAAAAGTGACTCGTGTATGACTATTATCGAATATTTATGTAGCCATCTTCTAAATGTCTTTCTAATGTTGCAAAGGCATTTTGTTTCCCTGTCTTCATTTTCATTGCAATTCAATAAATGGACAATAAAAGCTTTACCTTGTCTACCAATAAATTTATTTTTAAACCCCGTTGACTCATCAGACTTGGTAATAGTAATTTTATACCTATATGTTGATGCCAATCTGACTGACATTGATTGTAAAATACTGGTAAGTTGTGACGCGAATCACAGAAAAATGTTGCAACAATGTCTTGACTTCTAAACTTAATGCTAAACCGGTACTCTCATCCATGACCAAATTTAGCTTTGAAAGTGAGGTCTGAAAACAACATTGCCCTTCTCAGCGTTCGCTTAAAACATTTATATATATTTTATATCCATCTATAGCAATAAATTGACTTTACATGTATCGTATAATAAGTTCATTGTTGAATCGCAATTTTTCATGTCGTTTATTAAAACGACTATTCTAATCTAGATATTCTAATCTTGATCCACAACTTATTTTGTTTATTACGTACTTGACTGTCACCACATGGATATAGAACTTTCAAGTATGAAGTAGTGTAAGGTCGTTCCAATCGTATGAACTGTTAAGTTCGCTGTAGGAACAATATGCGACCGCTCTTAGTCTTGCATATTTTAAAGCAATGTTTCGCAGCCTTCATTGAGAAACACGCGCCCTCATTCGTGATGTCAGTCAGCTGCCGTTGGGCAACAAACACCTGATTTCCACACGAGAAATCAGATCAAATTTTCGCGGTATCGGCAAAAGACGAGCCGAGCCATCTCGCGACCGGTATTACATAAAGCTTGGTGGCTGCGTAAGATTCACCTATGCAAACAGCCGATGAAAGTGACAACACACTGACTGGTTTCAAGCAGACCAGTACTGATCAGCTTTGATTTAGAAAGTATTCACACACTATAACCGTTATTAACAACTGTATTTTAAGTAGTTATAGATTAGTAGATAATATGTGTAGATTTAAAACTTACAGTGGTGTCCTGGCGAGCATGTTGGAGGCAGCTGGGTTGCGTTGGTGTGTGCGGTTGCGTTCGCACGGCCCAGCTCTCTGGGGATGCGGGCTGCGGGCTGCTGACTGCAACAGAAACCTCACGTCAGCACACGCGCCTTTCCCAAACGACACACAGTTGCGAAAGACAGTTGAAGCTCGATGAGGAAGCTACATCACACATTCAAATGCAACGTTAATGTCAAAGAGCGCTAAATGCCAATAGTGGCGACCTTTCGGTTTTGAACTAGGTTGCGCAAACGAGGATCGCCGGTGATCGTGTGAGAAAGGCGAGTGCGTGCAGGGACTTCGAGGGGGTGGTAGAACGCACCGGCGGGGGACGGCGGGGAAGAATGACACCGCAGGCGACGCGCTGCCGAACGGCGACTAACCTCGCCGCGGCGCGCGCACCTCCTACTTATAGCCGCAGAGGCTGCGCCCGCGCGCCGCCGCCACCGCCACCGCCGCCGTCGCCGCCGCCACCGCCGCCCGCTGGCACCAGCTCACCCTTGGATACTTTGTCCACTTCGGTACCATTCCGCGCCCGCACCTACACTTATACCCTGTTCCCATGTTTTCACATAACATTTTCTCTTATCTTATGCATCCCAGCCAGAATCCAGGATGCTCTTTCCTTGATATTGTATAACACTAAATATCCTGTGACTAATTATGTTACAAGATATTAAGAAACATTAAAACCCTATGAATTATGCGACGATAAACGCTTATAAATATGAGACAGAAAGCTTAGGCAATACTTCAGTATAAAAGACATAAACGCGTGACATGCACACTTCGTAATATAATTTTTCAAAAATATTAAATAAGCGAACATGTTTTCTATATTCAATGCAATTGTAATTTATTACTCATCAGTTGTTAACATATGTGATTGCATAGATATTTGATATTTAGCGTCAGATACGATCATATAAGATTACAAAACTCAACGGTGCTCCTAGTGGCATATTGAAAAATTACGAATCGTACTTAGAAATATAAAATATACAATGTTAGAGTAATTAACTTAGTAGAGCGTACATTACAACATTATAAAATATCTGCTGTATTATATTTCAAAAAGGCACTATTAAGTGTGATGTACAAAGTTAAAACAAGTTATTTTATAATTTAACATATTGATGACCCAGTAAGTATAGTTCCCGAAAAGTTCAAACGCCTATATTAGACGATGAGGAAGTGAGGGCAAACATACATTACGCGTCAAATATGTTGATGAATATATAATGATGTGTGTCGACTGGTAGCGCGGTCCACTCTAGGCAATGCATCAAAAAGTCAAGGACGTACGACTCACTCGGCACTGTCCAGTTCTTGCTCTTCTTCGTAGTAGTCTCTGAATTTTAATGATTGAAAAAAAATATATGTAGCGAACTCATGTCGCACCCACGTCGTTTTGTCATGCCTTATTTTTATATTCAATTACACTCAAATTTTCCCAGGATCTCGCATGTGTCACGAATAACAAACTATAAAAAACAGTCTTATTAAAACAACGATACGTGTTTGTAATCACTAATTGAATTGAAAATTGGACAGTATTAAACAAATAAAAGCCTTTACGACTAAACAAATTTAACAGAGCAATCAGAGAGTTAAAAAATAATATGATAAATGAATTCGCTAATCGTTAGAGCTAGCTTGAGTTGACTTAGTATTAGAGAAGCCTAGATTCTGGAAAAACTTAATGAAGATAAGGAGGTTAGCCACCCCTATCCTAGACAATCATGAAGCAATATATTTGGAAGAAATTCTTATAGGGTTTAATTTTTTTTCTGCCTGTTTTTAAACGGATACGGAAACTGAATAAAATATACATTGATATGGACACTTATCAACGTATCTTTGTTTTACTAGCTGTCTCATCGCTATTTTGGACTCTGGCACAAAATGTCTGTCATTTCTTTGCTACTTTTGACACCGTATTTAAGAACATTCCATATATATAACTATAAAAAAATGGTCAAAGCTGAGCGAAATAAAACATCATTTTTATTTTATTTATAATTTTTATTGACAATGCGTATAATGATTGTAGCATATCCATAGTGACATTGTCAAAAATAGTTATTCCCTTGTATCAAAATAAAGAAATTTTGTATTACGTGTACATGATGTCTATTTAGAAAATAACTAGCTAAACTTATTACAATTCAGGAAAACAAAAAATACACTCATATCACAATACACTTACACGTACTTATTGATAAATTGAGCTAAATATTTACAAATTTGGTTGAAGCGATCCGAGAGCCCCTAGCTCGGTCAACACAAACAACTTCACAATACCAATTTAATCACAACATACAAGAATAAAAGAGAATAAGGGGATATGTAAAAAAAAATATTAAGTTTAGTATAAAGTATTTATTAACTAGGATTACGTTCATGCGTCTTAAATCTATGAAAAGCATCTATTAAAATGGTGAAAAGTCGTGAGTTCAACTCATGTCAAAATTTGAAATATGTAAAATATGTTTGAGACAATTTTTTTTTTCATTTTTTTTATAATAATCTACAAAGAAGACAAATTCGATAAGTAATTACAATGCTAAATAAAGTAGGGTAAGGTCGACCGAAGCTTTGCGGTTATCACCTAGTTTAATTATCTTTGATTGAACAAGTAGCTCTAAGCGACTATATCTGATTATATGACTCTATACATATATCTATTGCTATAATATATTAAATATATATTTAAAAAAAAATTCTCATTGGGTATTCTAGCATTCTATATTACCTCACTTGCTGCAAAATTATATCGCTTTAATATTGTATATCAATGAAAATACGCAAAATCTTATCCCGTCAAGAAATGTATTCTTGAATTTAATTTGCGTAGTTATTTCATAATAGTTGATAATGTTGAATTATCTTAAAAAGTTTGCAGATACATTTTGAGCAAGTGCGATATAAAGGTGATCGACAACCGAATGACGCCCCCCATTAGTGACGTCACCGTTGTTTGGGGGCAAAAGAAACGCTACTCTTGACTATCAACAGCGAATAATGATATAACATTTTCCTTTGTACTTGTATTTCGTTTTACATTGCGCATTATTATCTCACTACAATTCTTTCAGTAAATACTCGAGTAAAAAATATGGCAAATATTTCCAAATTTATTATAAATTTAGCACAAAATACTAATCTAATCTAAATCTAATAATATAGCGGTATGTACGCTTTGTTGTGTCTATTGGATTAATACTTATGAATTACAACAACATGGTTTTAGAGGCACGTTATAGGATCTGTATATTGCACTTGTAGTATTGTTAAAGTGCAACAGTCCAGGGGTAGTCAACATTTCGATCGCTCGCATCGATATCGAAATAACTCCGGCACAAAATTCATAATCAAGCAAAGTTGACTTGTTGATTCTTTCCAAGTAATAACTGCAGTAAATATATTTAACGATTGTTTCAACGGATCACAATGCCACCTTTACAAACTGGTTTATCATTTTTAGTGTTCGATGATTTTAAGAAATACAATGTTAAAATTTATCGGACCTGTCTCATCAGTAAGGCATCTCGCAAGTTTGTCATTTTTTAAGCTTTACAAATCATCGGTATTTATAGCGTAAACACGATATTTTTATGGCATACGCGAATATTTACATACACAATTAGTTTAAACAAACTGTAAAATATTTTAAATGTGTTAAGTCCTCGATTTTTTTTGTTGTTCTTTTACGGTGCCCTAAAAAGGTTAAATATACAGTTATTTATTGTTATAAGAGATCATTCAAAAACCTTTTTCTATACTTTAAGATTTCTGATATCATTGTGTGCGAAGTATGTTAATTTATTTACTGCAATACCAAAATATATTTGTTTTAAGACTGGCTGGTATTCCAGTCGAATTCACAATTATGTCTCTTCAATATGCACATTAATATTATGTCAAATATATACAAAAAAAAAATATCATAAACCTAAAAATAATTAGAACAAAAAAATTAAATAAAAATACACAGCCAATAATTTAAACAGAAATAACACAGTACTTAGCTTCTTTGCCATTCAGTTATTACAACTTTCGTCTAAAGCGAAACTATTACTGATTTTTTAAGTTGCATTAATTTTGAATGTTTTTATTTTTATTATTGACTGCTCGATGTCACTTTTATGTATTTTATATTACATATTTATTAAATATTAAAGTATATTAATATATAACGATAGCCAAACATTATAAAGTGCGAAAGAAGAGGACGGAAATATCGCTAGATAGACAGATATATCATTCGTTGTCAAATTGTATTTTAGTTTACATTTTTTATCGTTTTGTTAGCTGTAAACTTTCGAGTTTATAGCAAAGAATAAACAAATCTTAGCAATGAATCAATAACTCGCGATTTTCTTTTAAATATTAATATAATTGTCATTTTTTTAATTATCCGATAATTTATCCGAATTCAGTAAACCGTATGGCATAGAAACTATAAGAAAAATCTTTTTTTATATTTCAGTTTTCATTTTAAATTAATATAAATGATATTAATTGATAATACAACAATCATTACATCGCAATTTTGTATCTAATGAGAGAATATAATACGAGGACCTACTAAATATTTATGGAGTACGTGCAATTTACAAAATTTCAAAACACTAAGAACTATTTTACTATAATCCTAATTGTTAGACATTCAACAAACAGTAAGTTTAATTTTTTTTCTCAGTTGTAATAGCCCACGTCATTAGCAATATTAAATTGGACATATACAACTTCGCTTTTATTAAAAAAATACAATTTCTACACTAGATTTATATGTTATAAGACATGCTAAACTAAATATAAACACTATGCTAAAAATAACATAAAATTTATGTTATTAATTAATGCAAATATGAATTGAATGAATTCAAAACAGTCAAACGAGGTGAATAGAAACATAACCAGCAAAGTTTTTACAATATCTTACGTTAAGAATCACCTTTTTTATCTGTGTAATGAAATCATTATAATAAAGATAATAGGTATATTAACGAACAATCATTCATGAATATGCTGTAAACTATTCTGATTTTGTTTCTATTCACTCCGTGATTTCTATTGAGCCAATCATAGGGTATGTTTACTTTTGGTCATCATAAGTTAAAGTTAATGACTCGATATTAAAATTTTTGTGACACTTCGAGGTATTCGGCAACATATAGGATTGTAAAAGTGCCTTATCAAACTGTATCTTAAATATATATATATATATTATAATTCATATCGAAAAATATTAACAATCGTATTATTATAACTATGAATAAAATTGAATTTTAATAAGTTGGTTTTGCATATTGAGATCAAGCGTTTATAATAAGAGATAGAATAAAAGGTGTACACGATTATATGTCGTAGTGGAAGAGATGTTGAAAAAATTCAAAGTATTAAAAAGATTTTCTAGAGCTGCAACGATTGGTATGCAAATCACAGTTCAGTCGGCAGACGCATAACTTTCTTCGTGCCTTGCAATAAAAATGCATCCACCATGTTGCAAATAAAATTCATTTGTTTCAAGGCTTTCTTGCATATTAAGATACATTTAAGAGAAATGGTAAATAGTAAATGACTAATTTAACTTTTAAATTTTTACCTTTAAAGATCTATATTAACATTTTTTTTGTATTTGATTTTTTCTTTGTCATTTTTTTAGTACAAAAATCTTAACTATCTCAACAAACTGTCAGTTTTGTATGTTTATGTATTTATTACCTAATGCTTAGATATATTTAGAGAAAGAAAACAAAAAGGCATAACTTTAACTCTGAAACTTTAAGCTCTTATAGATTCCATTTGATATCGTTTTAATTTCAGTGTAGTCAAATTTTCTATAGGTTTTATAAAAACCGTATGTCGAGTATCTAAAACAAAAATTATTGTTTTGTTTGATGACTAATTTTAACATGGAGTCGTAGTTTTCATTGCGCTTTATGCCTTTTAGTCTTTCCCTAACACATGAACATACAGAGCAGTGGAAATCGCACTGAAATATTTATTTTGTTTGTATCATATAATATTTAGTAGCTTCACAACATTTTCTATCAATGGTTTTTGCATAGGCACTGAATTATGGCATTAGTTTGAACTAGTTTTTGTAAGGCATATTATATATTAATCTTATTTGAGTGCTGCAACACTAATGTTCAAAAACAATATTAATTCTTAATACTTTCAATCCGTAGTTATAAAAATCGCTATATTATAATATAATGTTTGCTCGTCGAATATTGTATGGAAGACTAACATCATTAACCACACGTTATACTAAGATATGACACTGAATTTTATCCTAAAGAGAAAACTATTTTAGAAATATAGTATAGTGGAAGATTACATGAAACTCTTACTCTTACAAAGGCAGAGTTACTAGATATATTTCATTTTGGGCGGAAATTGCTTATGTAAGAGTAAATCTTATATAATCGATTGTTGTAAATTCTCAGGTACATCAGTTTTGAACTCATCCACAATGACGTGTTAAAATATATTGTCGTCACTTTCTTTTCTCTTTGATAAAAAAGAGACATCAATACTTATTAATACAAATGTCACTGTAATCGAAACTCATAGTTGAAGAAATTAATTTCGTGACCATTCTTAACTTCGTATAACGTTAACAAGATCTAGTTCAAACCACACCATACCCACATAAATACGTATGTATATAAAATAAATTCTATATGAATCGATATATGCCAAATGTAACTCCTTAATATTACATTAAACGCTCAAGTTCTATGAAAAATGTATGTAAAAATTGATATATTACTTTAACTGCGTGTATAAGTTTTAGTGCACTTTGTGGTTTTTAAAAATGTATGTAACTAGAATTGTTATTACTTATCTTTGTCAACGTTTGAATTTGTAAAAAATATCTACAAATCTATCACGATATTAAACTTACAGAATTGTAAGAGAATTTTAATATAAAAAGTATATATATATATTTATTTGCTGATTGAAAATATATATTTCAGTGTTCAATCAAGATTTGAATTTATTTTCTTCGATTTCTACTGCAGATTTTTTTTTCTTTGCCTAATACAAATATACAATGATTTAAATTGTACTTGCTTAAGCCACTTATATGAAAGCGCTAGAATAAAATAGCGTCATGCCTTATATTTAAGCTATAACCAGTTTATATGATTTCTAAAATTAAAAGCTATATATCTTTGTTACATGAAAAATTTTACAAAATATTTTCAACATGGTATATATGTGGTATGAGTAACTGCTATGATTGTTAAAGTATTTTCAATATTAAAATACCTTTTCATATTAAAAGGTAATCGAGGCACATAGATAATTAATCTTATTAGATTTAATTCTGTTCAAATTTCGATTAGCGAATTATCGAAAACGTTTTAATTTCTTACGAAACTTACGGAATAAGATTGAACATGGATTACGAATTGTTACGTTCCTTTGCGTCATTATTATATCATGTAAAGAACTAACTATAAAAATGATCATATAATGTAAAATATTTAATTTATGTCAAAATGTAAAACATGATGAACTGTAACCTAATTCTTTAAAAGATCAAGTTGAACAAGAACATCTTGTTTCGTCACATCGACAAAGCATAATTATATGTATTTATATCAAATAGTGCTAGGACTTAATTATCAATTCAAAAATTCCACATCAGAAAACATGTTTTCATCGTGTTTTATAGCATCAAATAATTACTGTATCTTAACATAAAAATTTATGATATTAAATTGCCGTTTATACATAAAATACGGGCTTGCAAATTTAGCACTTAATTACATATTACTATCGGTTTAAAGTAGTAATAAAGGAAATAGAAAAAAAAACAATTCCATCATTCAACAAATCTACAAAGACATATTGTCATTTCTTTTTTATCAAACCGAATAAGTGAGATGAAAATATGTTTTAAACGAAAACTAACGGTAAGATCGACAAGAATATCTGACCCGGTGAGCATATATCAAACTAAATTATGATAGCACACTAGCGCCCCTATCAATGTAAAAAAGTGTCACATGATTCTTTTCGTACTGTAGCTATCATGTCGCTTTTTCTTTTATTCAATTATCTATGCTCATGTAAACTTTATATATTATCTAACAGAACTATCGGACCAGGTATCCTTATTTGACTATAATTAATAACATTTGTAGTTTAAACTGTAACATCATTTCACTTATAAAAGTGTATGAGATAATTGAAAAACGTATTTAATGACTTCGAACTAAAGACTCGCGGTAAATAAACTATCGAAAAATGGACTTCAAAACCCGGGCATTTGTAATTTTTTTGTATCATTTAAATTCATATTACGTGGACAATTTTAAAAATACTAGTATTCCAGCATAATTACTGAGAATATCATATATGCATAAACAATTCTACTAATTTGAGGACTGTTTTATATGTAAATCTTATTCCAAAATAACATTTTAAGTGTAATTCAACTGTGACATTCAATAAACATATTTTGCAATACAAGATAAGATTATTAAAAGCAATTAAATTATCATAATAAATTTTTATAGTATTTCAACTGAGATATAATTTTTTCTTTTATATTTGACATTTTTTTCAATTTTTTTGTACGACTTGTACGGAGGTGAATAAAACATATTCTCATCGCTAACTTGCTCATTAAAAAACGAGACAACAATATGTTTTTGTCTAAATGTTTCGGCAGTGTAAACTCAATTACATACTTGTTCATTTCTTAGAAAATTGTTTGGATTTATCTAATACTTATAATAATAATATAAAATTCTTTGTTTCGTTACTTCTTTTGTATCCTTTTGTTTTTATAATTAGACGCAAATTATTTATTATGTGCGTTTAAAAGTTATTTACGTAAACTATAACTTGTCAATACATGAAAATACCAATTCTAGCGATTTTGTTTTATCTCTGGAATTTACAACATTAGTACAAATAACTTTAAAAAGGCTATAAAATGTATTTGCGATATAAATATGTAAACTTTCGATTTCAACCAATATGATTAATTTATCTATTTATAAAAAATGGTTTTCAAAAAATTTGTATTTATAACATTTTTTAATACTATTAGCTTGCACACATATTATATCCATAAGATATTAAGCACCGTTTTTGTTGACCTTTAAGGTGAAATTCCACTGTTGTAAAACATGACTTATACAAGTCTTACGACAGTGAAAACTCACAATGAACCAAATTACTTGTACTAAAGCTGTTTTGATTTTCTTCGAACTACATCATCTAAGATTCTCACTGTTTTTGTTTTCCTTTTAAAATTATAATAAAAACCTAAAAACCCGAGGTACAGCCGACCCTTAATATTAGCCGATGCCTTCCTATCACGTTGTTTTAAAAACGTAAGATATGTATCGTTTATTTTGGCAGATCTTGAATTTAGAACACCAATCAATCTTACAATAACATCAAAGAACGAAGACGCGAGGTCACTTATTTGTCAAATATAACACGAAACTATGAATCGTCAGAAATCACAGTTAGATTTCGAAAAGATATTTTTAAACATACTATACTAAATATCGACACATACTACCAAAATGAACACGACAGTGTTTTGGACAGAAATGGCGCTCTCATCGTTTCTGAGACCAAAATATCCTTAAAAAACATATTCTAGTCTCTGTTAAGTCAAAGACAATGACAGGGATGACGATAAGTTATACATTGTAATTTTAGCCTCAGAAACCAAAGATAAAACGTTTTATGTTTTTCAAAACGATATATGCATCGTCTATGGTCTGTATCAAAGATTTAAATACATAAATGGTAATGGACAGGACAATAATGGACAGTCTTGCATATGTATAAATAATTCCGATTAAATATAAATGATAACGATTTAAAGTCGAAACTGTATAAGCGAAAGTCGTTGTCCAATCCCGACGTACGACCTCCATACGCGAGAAACTCGGGTTAAAGAAAAGCCTTTAAAAGAGAAAAATATCACAGTCACTTAGACTCTCGCTTATCCAGGTTCCACTGTATATACATTGTAGTTTAAAAAAAAAAGGTAAAATTGTATCACAGATGATTTCATTACTAAATTACAATGTTTTATTTATGTAAACTTACAACCAGTTTCAAGACAAAGAATAAAATCAAAATAGTAGGGAAAAAAGGCCAAAATCACCGAATCAAACTTTAAGCAGATGTCAAAATACTTACATTATGGTCATTTGTCAGATCGTGTCAGAATGTGGAGGGAAAAGGAGAACTTAACTAATAAAACGTCAAAAAAATTAAAAACTAAAATTTCAATATGGATACTCCATACATGTCCGTATTCTTTGTTATTATTAGTATCCATTATTATTAATAAAGAACATTTATGTATTTAAACCTTTGCTTACCACATTCAAGCCTAACTTCACTCATTGTGTGTGAAAAATATTTCGTGCGTCATAATTTTAGACAAGAAATTGAAAACTATAAAAATATAATATCTATTTCATTAATTTCAGAGTCAAAAAAGCGAATGGAGTTTAAGGGAAGACAGGTTGGTCATGATTTTGTGATGTATAGTCAAACAAGGATATCTGAACCGATGTGGGGCGCTGCTATCGCGGTTAGTTCTGTCTGAATATGTAAAAATTACTTAGACATATTAAATGACATTATAGAACAAAATGACTTGACAGCTACAGTACAAAGAGGTTGATGACAGGGGTGGCGCTAGTGAGCTGTCATAATTTAGTTTGACTTATGCCCACCGATTCACATATCCTTATTGGTCTATAAAATTTATGACAAAATTGAATCTTGAATAGATTTTTTGATTGTAAAATATGATGTAAACTTGATAGATTAATTGACGTTGTAGATAAGATGAGGTTTTACATGTGTTTAAATCCAAACGGGCTGGGCTTCGGGGTCGGCTTTGTGGTGTCGTTGTTAAGGACGATGGAGTAATGGGGTCTCTTCACCGGACGCCCAACGGGATTCGCTACGATTACGTTCACTGCAGTTCTTTGTACAACACGCTGATACACTTTGGCCGGCCTGAAAATATTATGATAAAAAAATAAAATATTTTTTAAAAGTATTAAATCTTTTTATAACTAATAAATTTCGACTTTGGTTTGAAATAAAGGAAAAATCTAAATGGGAAAATCACCTGTGACAAATGCAAGTCGTACAGATGCAGCGTGCTGACTGACATATCTCTGGCTTCATCGGGGGAGGCGAGTAGTGCGGTGTTTGGGTCAAACCGGCTCATGGGTCCCGGGATTGATACTCCGGAGTCAGGGTTACCCATCGCGGACATACCAGATCCTACATTCCTAGACACCGATGCTGATGTACACTCATCTTCATCACTAGTCTCATCCATGTCCTAAAATAAAGGATTTTATAAAGCAATGTGAAAAGTTTTTGCAAAGATTACCCGGAACAAACGCGGCCTTATGGATAAACAAAGGTTTTAAAAATTGGTTTTTCGTTAGCTACGGGAAGAAACATATATTTTTCTGTATTACATACAGACACTCCACTTTTATTAATATATATAGATGTGTTATTAATAGTGGTAACTGAAAGTTTGCACGTAATAACTAATTCCAGTGGTGGCCCATTACTAATCGACCATAATTCACAATTAAGAGGCTTTTTTTATAAATAATTTTAAGCGAAGTGCATGATTTAATACATTAATAGAGGATAAATATATCTGTACTCACAGGTAACCTGTAGGGCGGTTTTTGTTGCTGGTAATAGGACAATACGGCAGGCAGCGGAGTGTTAGTACCGAAAATACTCTGCTGGATATATGAGCCAAGCATTGTTTTGTTCTGAAACATTTATAAATAATTATTAATGAGAAATGTAAAAACTTTAGTTTTATTATAATTATGCTATAAAAAATGTAACACGACATTTTATATGTTTATATAAACCTATAAGGCTATCTGAACCGGTGGGAATAAATCAAACTAATGTATCACAGCACACTAGCGCCCCTCTGTCAATGTCAAAAAATGTTAGAAAATCCTCTTTGTACTGTAACTGTCAAGTATTTTTTTCTTTTATGTCATATTGTTTGTCTAAATAGGTTATATCTTTTATATTTTGAAAGAACTAACCGCGAAGCCGCCAACCAGTTCAGATATCCTTGTTTGACTATAACTTACCAAAGCATTATTGGTTGGTATAGCGTGGTGCATGCTTTGTCTCAGAGAGCGCAGGAACTGGCGCTGTGCAGGCTCGCTCGGCTGCCAGCCGGGGTGACGGCAGGAGAATGCGACCAAGGAAAGCTCAGTTTTACCACCCTCGCCTTGATTATATTGAGCATTGCCAGCTGGAATTTAATCATTTTGATACTTGTATATTGTTCTCTAGTGATCATCTTACTTCTTACTAATATTATAAATGCTTAGATGGATAGATGGATGTTTCTTTGAGGGTATCTCTAGATAGGTTGCATGAATCTCGAGGAAATTTGGCATAGATGCAGAACACTTTGTTTATTTTAATTTCGCGCGGTCACAATCGCGGGCGATAGCTAGTATGACTATAAAAGTATCACAGTATGAATTGTTTGTGTGAAAGAGGTTATGTTAAATTAGGGTATGAATTTAATTTTGGCTGATAGAGATATATGGAGTAGTAGTGCCGACCCTCCGTCGAAAAAAAGAATAAAAAGATGAATAATAACAAAAAGATACAATGTGAACTTACTAGTTAGCTTATCACCGTATTTACCAGCTGCCTGCCAATCCGGATGACCGTGACGTCTGATGTCAAGCTAAAAATACATAATTTTAATTAATAAATTTAATTATCATAAGTTACCATAGACAAAAGAAATGACGTAAACGACTTTTAGACAATTATTTGACAAGTAACATTGAGACAGGCTTGTGAATATTTTTAATAACAATAGTCGTATCTTCGCACTGTATTTATAGTACTGAATAATAATTTAGGTACCATATGATTATAAACATGGAATAAAATATTTAAATATATAATATTAAAAAATATACCTGAGCGAAGGAACACACGTCACCGATTCCCAGCACACTGACAGTGAAATTTCTATAGAAGTCAACGATATCAAGAGCACGAGATCTAAGCGAGAGTAACACGAACGGAGACAGGAGAGGACTCAGTAGTTCGAACAAAATGTACACCTGAAAAAAAAAATGTAATTTAATTCGTGATTTAATTATTGGCTAATTGTGATTGTAAACAATCATTAATTTAAAATCTAGCTGTCGCCCGCGACTTCGTCCGCGCGGATATAAAAGAACACAATCAATAAACCTATGTGTTCTTCCAGGTTATGTTCATCTATGCCAAAATTTAAGCGAGATCCATGGAGTCGTTCTGGAGATATCCGCAAATAAAGAAACATCCATCCATACAACCAAACATTTGCGTTTATAATATTAGCACGAAAAGATACACCAAAAAATACGACCCCTTACAGACAATGTACGATATGTATATAAATTACAAGACGGTAGCTTAGCTGTGTATAAAATTCAAACTTACGGCTCTGAATTGGAAGAGCTGTTGGAAATGTGCTGCTACGTCTTTAGTGTGTGCTCGGCCGCGCCATGCTGCAGGCAAATAGTGCACATGTCCCAACACTTGCACGAACAATTCCTCGCCACGAGCAGGTCCAGTACATCCCCCACCTAAACGCTCCTCTTCTCCTATCAAAGCTCTGCACAAGAAAATTATTAAAAAATACCAAAACCGCATTTAGAGATTGTCATTTTTATAAAATAGTTATCTTGCAAAAATTAATATAAAATATAACTGTTTACATACATAAAAATATAAATCTGACGCCAGACTTCGTTCGCAAAGATAAGACATTTATTTATCCAAATCCGTTCAGTCGCACATACATTCATACATACAACCAATCGCATATATAATATTACTAAATAGATATAAATATACCTGGCTCCGGCTAGCACGCATCCCAATATTGTGATTATAGTAAGTACATGTTCCACAGTTAAGACATCTTCGTCATACACTGAAAGCACCACCAACACTCCAAGAACACTTGCAGATAGAAACACGATGTTTCTGGAATAAAACACATTACATTGGACCTACGGTTACCGATCCCTGGCTCAACTAATTTTACGAAATCCACTGCTCGTTTGTCTCTTCTATGTAAAATAAAAACTTATTTATTATCTTAATCGTACATAATTAATACCATTATTTCTTTAGTTTTTAGCAGCGAATGTTATTGGGTTATTATTATTATTATAAGTCATGTTAGTAGTATAATAAAATAATTGGCACAGATATACACTTTACAATACAATGTATCTATTCACGATTATTAAAACTTGTACACGAGCCAAATTAAATAAATTTATTTTGTAACGCAATGATATTTATGTTGCTAAATATAATTTCTCTCATTTTATTATTGTTTAAAGATATTTGATAGGAATCTATTATAAAGGAATTAGATTATTGATTATTTTAGATTTTAATCAAGTCGAGGACGCCTTAAGATACATCAAGATAAAAGCATATTAGTTCGTAAACAGTTTAAAACGCATTTAGTTCCTCTCGTGTTGGTTACGTCTATGATTGACAGATCATTTATTAGGCGACCTTAAGGAACCAAACAATACTTACTTGGCAACAACAGTAGTGATAGGAGATGAGAAACTTGCTAGGTACTTAGTAGCGGGCTTATGCGCTCTATTGAGTCTATCCCGCAGTTCATGTTCCAATTCGTTGAAATGACGCAAAGTAACGCGAGCGTACAACGACCACGTACGCAGTCCGAGTGATGCGGGAGAACGCTTTATCAACTAGATATAACATTATTTGATCATTTTTTTTTATTTGTTTTAAAATTATTTATTTAATTATTTAATCAGATAAATAAATAAATAAATCAAAACAAATTTTAAAAAAAACGAAAGCTTTGACAAAATTACATGACATATAGTCAAACAAGGATACCTGGGCTGGCGAGATTTGCTATCTCGGTTAGTGCTGTCAGAAATTATATAAAACCTACTTAGACATACAAAATGCCATAAAAATCAAGAAAACTATGATACATCAAGGATCTTGTGACACGTTTTTGTCATTTTCAGGGTGACACTAATAATTAACCAGCCCTTATCCCTACGAAGGGTCGGTACAGTAAGTACTAGTCCTCCATACATCTTTATCAGCCGTCATTTCTGAATTCTGAAGTAGGGGTAACTTCCCATATCCTTTTTCACACAATCCATCCATACTTTCTTTGGTCTTCCTCTACATTTGTAGCCATCCACATTTAATCTCATTACTTCTTTGTTTATGTGATTAACATCCCTCTGTATTTGTCCAAACGGCTATAACCATCTGCTCCTCAATTTCTCGAACACTGCTACTTTTAAACTTTCTCTAATAACATAACACATGGGCGGCGCTAGTGAGCTTGTCATAATTTAATTTGACCTATGCCTACAGGTTTAGATATCCTTGTAGGCCTATAAACTGTGCTAGATATAAATAAAAAGTACACATAAAAAATTCATGATTTAAGAGTAATGTAAAAGTAAAAATACCTCCGCATAGTTGAAGAAGAAGTATAGTATCTGCCAGCCCTGAATAAGAGGTGCTAGCAAGAAGTTAACAAACGCCAAAACCAAGATCTGTCTATCAAGTTGTCTGGCTAGTATCATTCGTTTGGAATGATCTTTATAACATTCACGAAGCTGCCAGCAATTCTCCCAAGGACTCCATGGACTAGCTATAAAATAAAAACAAATTTTAAAACAACCTGCATTTTTATATTAACTAGGATACTAAACATTTTTTTATATAAAAGATCAGACTCACAGAACAGAAGAAACTCCAAATTCCATTTCAAACCTCTGGATAAATAATGAAAATCACCACAAAAAGGCACATGAATTTGCAGAGGTAGTAGATTCTTATTAACCATTGCAACCATATAATTATCAAACCTGAAATAATAATGTAAACAATATGTACCAAGTGATAGACAATTCTCAATATACTACATGAATTATTGTTATGTAAACATATTAATAAGCCTACCTGAGTATTCTATGATATATATCTAATTCGTTGATTTCTCGTTTATGAACACACATTTGATGTTCTGGTTGTGCTTCCCTTACTCTATCTTGAACTGTCGACCAATTTATCCATGCTAAGTCATTCTGAAAATAAAAACATTCAAATTAATATAAAAGTATAGAAGCATGAAACATTACAATTTCAATAATTACATGATTAATATCATAAAAATGAATAAATATTTCTTTTAACATATTTATGTCATCATAAAATTATTAATTCAAAGAAAAGACAATTACTTTCATGAATGAACATAATTATACTACAAAATTGTAATGTAAGGCATTTAAAAACAAAACATATTTATTCAAAAACCAAACACAACAAAAAACATGTAAAATAACCAATGTCATGACTACACAAAATAAATTTAAATTATGACATCTACGTTTCTTTTTATTTTAAGTATGTAGCTCATTTATTATTGAATGAAATAATTTAACATAAATCAATATAAAATATATACACATTGCAATAGAAAACAAATATTTCAACACTTACCTCATTTAATTTTAAGGCGCTATGATAAAATAATTTTGTATCATATGCATGATATAAATGGTATATTGATAAAAACAATCGCATGAACCAAATAATTGTACATAATGTGATTACACACCACCTGAAATGTAAAAGTAATTATTATATACTTATTTATGTATCAAAGATTCCAATCTAGATACACAGGAATGGTCCGGGATGACAGGATATCATAACCGATGAGAGGTGCTGCTACTGCAGTTGTGTCTGTCTGATTATATTTATCATACACACACATAGAAATGGCGAGTATTATAGTACAAGGAGGATCTTGTGAATTTTTTTGGATTATGACAGGGGGGAACTATCTCTAGTTCCCCCCTTGAAAAGATTTAGTTTGACTTATGCCCATAGGTTCAGACAACCTTATTAGTTTATCTATTTGTCCATTCTTTTGTGTCATGTCTAAATGATAAGACTGACTTTCGTGGGTGAGGTGTTCTTCTAATAATTTTTGTCTCTAGTGCACCACGGGGTCAGTCAAGTAAATTGATTTAAAAGAATTAGGAACTGGAGTGCTCATCCTTCAGTTTTTAACTGCTATAGAGGTAATGAATAACTAGTTAAGCCTAATTTTATAAAGATAAGAGAGATTTCTCAGTTTGTGTCCTTCCGTTAAACTCAGTCACTAGACAATATAATTGTTAAATGTTAATAAAAATTGTTCAATTAAGCCTTCATAATACTTAACTTTAGTATTTTAATACTACACAATAAAATAATATGTATTCTTACCATTTCCATGATATCCTATTTACACATTCTGATGTTGGGTAAATTACATCACTAAGGGATAGTTTCTCACTTCGATTTGCATTTGCATCATTTCTGAACAACCTCGGATAATCTACACAATGGACTAAAAAAGTTGAGAACCATACAATAAATATAAATTGTAGTAGATAAAATAGATCGGACATAATCATGGGATAGAAACCACCCTGAACATAATATTTGTACATTCTAGTAAAGAATGAATCAAGGTCTTCAATATGTGTCCAACCACCTACAACAAAAAAGAATTATAAATAATAATAATCTATACTATTGTTATAAATAGTAATAGTAAACATTTCATTGTTTGTTAGTTTGCATTGAATATGTTCAAAAATTGCCTAACAGATTTGGAAATTTCTTTTACTACTGTGGTGCTACATTATGCCGGAGTGACATATTTATTACTTGTTTTTTTTTACTTCCCTGCGGACACAGTTACCACATATCATATCCCTTTTCAAATAAACACCCTCAATTATTTATATTGAAGATTGGGTTACTTTCTTTATGGACATTATGTGATGTTTTTATAGCAACTTTTTAAGCCCCACCCCATCTGCTGTGAAGTGGTGAGAGCATAGCCTTCCCTCACTCCTTATACCTATCATCATGTTATATTATTTTAGCCCGCAATTGTTCCTTGTGATATTTTGTGATTTATTTTCGAGCCTAACATAAACAATTCCTAAGATTGTAAGGGTCATCAGAGCTTTTGTCTATGTTGACTTGTATACAAAACCTAGTTTTAGTGAAAAGGGGTGAATACACTAGTTATTCCTAATCAAAAAATTTAATCCTTGCAACTATACAGAAATTGTGACAAGTGACTTGCATAAAAAATATTTCCTAAACATATTCTTATCATCATTGTATCACAAAACTTGAATATTTGTTGTACTTGTAATCATTTGTTAATATTTCATTCCAACTCTATTATTTATAATAAATTTTTTAAACAAAGGATCCATTGTTTTTATTTAGAGTCGTAGTTTAGAGCATGGTATTTTCAGCATTGCTTATAAATAGAGTTCTATTCGTGAATGTAAACAAAGAAAAAACAAGAGAATTACCTTTAGTTTTTGGAACTTTGTGAATGATAACATTGGTGGTATCATCATGTTCGTGGTCCAGAGTGATCATAGTAGGAGTTGCATTTGCATCTTGCACAGATCTTCCCAACGGAGGAGTTAATTCGTTGTTGAGCGCGCTGTATGTTACATCTCGTCTATTGAACTGTGTCATTATTTTGGCTTAACTTCTAACACTTGTTATTGGTTTCTACGCCTAATTATTCTTCGCAGAGGCCACTTATGCTGTCTACAAAATCTTGACTTTAGTCCAGAATCATAAAACTTTCAAAAGATTATAGTTTTCTTTTATATTATGAATGGTAATTATAATAATTTTTAAGTGTAATGAACACATAGGTACAAGAATCAAGTATCTCTAATAAACAAAAACTAAAATAGTTCAAGGATACAAAGAATTTAGCAAGGCTAATAGATAGAGTGATGAATACACTGCACAAACGAAATGACGAAAATAAACCACTGAAAAATGACAGCTGTGTGATTTTCTCAAACAAAAGGCCGTTCCGTTCTACGCTTCAGAATTAAACAGTTGGTTTTTACTCTCTAACTTTTTTATTTCTTCTAATACCTCAAAAATAAAATATCTTGTTTTTTTTTCATTTTTTTTACTTCTTGCCTATTATAATACATTGCTTTGATGACTTTTTTTTCGTTTACAGTTTGGAAAGTTTAATTAAATATAAGTACAGCAATAATTTTTGTTAAAATAAATTTTGATATTCAGGAAGCACACTAAATAAAAAGTATTTCTTTATCTATTTCTAAAGAAGTGAAAAGCGATAGTAAATAAATTACAACATATTAACATAAAACGGAAGGACATGTATGGGTTATCGCTTTCGACCTGTAAATACCACAGCGTCAGATCTACCAAGTTAACTTTTTTAATTAATTTTATTAACACAATTAAAATAATTTAATTAGCTGATTGGCATGCGCCATACAATCGCTTAAATTACGCCAGCTATCGGCTGTAGTCCCACTTTACCGCGAAGTAGCTCAGACTACTCGCATAAAATAGTATAATTAAACTATTGATGTCGCGGTCGAGTCTAACAGGAGCTGCTGTTATCAGCTCGCATCTACCTTTTTGGGCATTACGAATAATGGTTGAGCATGACCACAACCTTTTTGCATCACAATACCTTTTTCTTGTTACGTGGCAAGAATTACGTTATTTTGTATGAAAGTTTGGTGGTTTGGGTAGTGAAAACCCTGCAAAAATTTGTATTCATTTTATTATATAAATTCAAAATAGTTATCACTACATATTTAATGGAAAAGTAATAAAACTTGCGGCGATAAAAATTATTGTAACTCATAAAACTATGCCTAGACCACTATAATATCTTTAGGTTTTCAAAACTATTACTTTTAAGATGTTTTCATTTTTACTTTTACATGTTTGTGGATTTTTCATCAAGTAAATTATGCCAATAAATTAATCTTGTCTTAATTTTTGAAATAAATTACATTAAAACTTTTTTTTAGCTTTTTCAGTGCTGCGGGTAATGGTATAGAATTGCTGCCTCGTTACGTTTTAGAAGAAGGCTTTAAGAGGTATATATATTTATATATCTATGCATACTAGATTTAAAAGATTTCAATATGTAATTTCGAATCACGTTTCTTTTTTTCCCTTTTTAATGGAAGTTACATACCAATACAAAAAAATCCATCAGCTCATAATCTCAACATTTCTACTAGGAACATGTTTTAATATTTGTATTTTTTTAGCGCAATATTCGGTTCATACAGCTATGATCCGCTAAGTGACAAATTTGAAAAAGACCAAGGTCATGAGTCGCAACAAACTGACACAACTACAACCACGGACGAGACGACTACAGTTGAAACAACTACGGAATCCAAAAATGATACTTTATTTAAGCTTAGACATATTGTCCGCCGATATAGTGTTAAGAGTAAATATATAACTTAGGTACAAGTAAATAAGGTAAAATTCGTAAATAAAAGAGTTGAGGTTTTATAATGTGGTATATTATAAATTGCCAGGAATGTTTAACTGACTATAAAGTACCTAACAAGCCTGTCAGCTAAAATACTGAGCCATTGTTTGTAGACTAACAATATAGAAGATATTATATGGGTGGTATACACCAAAACTCTCAGATAAACTCAAATCTATATTTTTTGTTATCCCATCCAGGTATTGTGAAAATTAATAAAATTGCGGAAATTAAAAAAAACTTTATTTAATGAATGTAGCTTTATTATATGTTTTTTGTTCGTCTTGCCTAATTTTTATTTAAATACAAATATGAGCTTAATGTGTTAATAAACATGCTTGCATTGCATCCATGTTTTTACTGTATTCCGAGAGTATTTTTCTAAGTTTTTCGAACAGAGCAAGAAGGATATTAATAAGTTTATAGACAGTGGAATCTCTTAACATATGTTGCAACAAAGAATATTAACAACTTAAGTCAACTAATGTTTACAATTTTATAGAAACATACATTCATACAAAGTTTAATTTTGTCCGTCATAATGATACAATAAATTACTTCTCTTATGAATAACAATTACATTTCATTAAATGTATTTATTGATAATATATAAGTCAAGGTTTATTAGTTAATTTTATTACATTACACTTGTAATAATCTACATTACATTACTGTACTTTTGATAATACTTCTCAATGCTATGTTAAAGTTATTTATATACTAATTATCATAACAAAGTAAAGTATATTTTAAGAAACTATTCTACTGACTTTTTTGTGCGTATATATTGTACAGGATATTAGTAACTAAATGCCCGTCTAACAAAAAGGTGATCTATTTAGTCAAAGGTTGAAATAGACATACATACATACGCATATAGGAATGTGTGAGTATTGCCTTTGCTTGCACGTCCATAAAATTGAAACAATGTAATAAAATAAAAATTTAAATCATTGTTATGGAACACAAGCTGTGCTCTCTGGACAAACAGAATTGAACGCAGTTTTATTTGATTGTCAATTCCTTCCATTCAGTTGCAGACCTAGATCTAAAATGTCATTAACTTGATGATGAGAATGCAGCCAATGAGGCACCTAGCTTTAAGGACTTATGATGCCAGCCAGCCAGCAAAGAAGAACAAGCAGAGAGCCACTGATCCAAGCCATTACTTGTGATCCACTAGCAGCTCTAGCCTACTCCAGTTTATATCTTCTTTGGTGCCAATGTTGGAAGAATTATAACAAATATTAAGGACATAGCATCCAACTTACCCTCTCTCATCCTGAGATTCTACATTTCTGCATTTAGGAGATATACATAAATGAGATGATAAAATTTAAGCCTTATAGCTTTTTTACGGAATAACTTTTAAACTTAAAAAATTACTACCATTAACTGACATGTAAAACTACAAAAATTATTAAAAAAAAAACAAGAATCGGAAAAAGGGCATAAGATTAATCTAAATATTATAACAAAAATATGAAATAGAAAACACAGAAATATCTTTAATAATGAAATACATGGCATATGTAGATTAAAACTATAAACGCATCATACATCTAAACTTTTGGTAAAGAATAATAAAAGTTGGTATGATTGACCAAATGACTATAATCAAACATGTAAAATTCTTAACAAAGAAATTACATAACATTCTTTACATTTTTATAATGAATGTCAAATATATTAGGTATTATGAGCATATTGATACAAATTATTTTAAATGTAACAATTGGTACTTATGTGACATTATTAATTAAATTACTGATTATATGACCTACACCAAATGCCACAGATAGAAAACCAATCAAAAGAATAACTCGGAAATACCTGAAAAGAAAAAGGAAATATATTTTTGTATTGCACTTATACTGTAAAATAAATAGAATAATTAGTTACACCCCTAAGTATTCTATTCATCAGATTAGAAAGAAAATACTCCACTTAGGTGTATTTATATAAAATTGGATCATATTTAACTAGAATGGTGGCCATGGTTAGGTTGACGCAGCATAGGTAGGCCTCATGCAAAATGTACCTATGACCTGGTCAAGATTTGCGGTAATACACTACTGGGGGAGGACTATGTTCAGCAGTGGGCAAACTAAGACTGATGATGATGATATAAAATTGTGAAGTAAATTATAAATACTTCTATGTTTACTCACCAAGTAAATTTAGATCGGTGTAATACTTTAATTATAGATTCAGTTTGTTTCACTGTACTTTCAATGTTACCAGAGTTATCAATAACAAAATGAGATCGTGCCACTTTCTGTTCAAGTGGCATCTGACAACTTATCCTCTTTCTTGCCACCACCTCAGAGAAATCATTACGTTTGCATAATCTTTCAAGCTGTTGATGATCTTCACTGCAATATACACATAATATATAATACAAACAACTGGATTTGTATTAAATTGACAATGAAATGGTATTACATTATTGAGGAGATTAAAATGGAAAAATACTTACCAGATTACTGTGATTATTTTATGCATAAATGCTAACATCTTTCCTGTTTCAAATAGCAATGGGACCTCCATTACAATGTATTTATGACCAGAGAAAAAATACATCATTGCCATACTCATCATAGCTTTCTGTATTCTAGGATGTGTTATTGCATTAAGTTTTCGCCTCTTCTCTATATCGTCAAATACTATCTCACCCAATTTCAGCCTGTTTACTTTTCCGTCGGGATATAAGACCTCTTCTCCAAAATAATCTCTTAATTCTTTCCATGCTTTTGTTCCTGGTTCTAACACTTAAAGTACAATGTGAGATTAAATAAAACGAGATCAAATTACAAAAACAAATTTTAATGAGATTTAATGGTAAGGTGGAGCTTGTATTGTGTTTGTAAGTTTAATAACACAATGAACTTAAATTAAATAATTGTTTAAGTACCTTTCCTAGCCACTTCATCGGCGTCTATAACTGCTATATTGTTATCGCGGAATATTGATAGCACTGTACTCTTCCCTGTCGCCAATCCTCCGGTGAGACCCACAATGAACATACTCGGAGTTATAATTGTATTGCTGTTATTAAAAATTATTCTTACAACAGAAATTTATCAAAATTCGACTATATTTATCTTTAGTATGATTTGACATATGACAAACAGTGACGGCTGACAGTGTAACGAGAATCTCTATTTGACGTTGACAGTTGTCAGTTCTATTTATTGGTTTATGAATTTTAAAATCAAGTTTATAATAAAGTTAGTCCATAATATTGAAGCCTTAGACCAACCTTAGACGGTCAATGTAGAAATTAATCTAGATTTATTTAAAACAATTAAAATTTTAAACAATACCAATAGAACAATCGCCTATTCCTCCTCTGTTGTTGTGGACAACGCGCTTAAAACAATTTCCCGCGCTTTTCTGAGTGTGTACCGTCATGTCCGTCAGTCACTTCACATCACTCGTGCAACCCTGGTTGCGGGTTAGTTTGGTTAAGTTCAGAATTGTTGGAGAAGTTTAATTTAAAAAAAACTATCATTGTATATTTAGCATTAAACACTTACATACTTTGTTTCATTAGAATTAAATTTCAGATTTAAAACATTCTCATAGGCAAACGTATCATGTATTCTTCCAAGTAAAAAACCTAAAGAGTACTTCCACATATAAACATGCTTATCCATTCTGCAAGAAATGTCAACCGCTACGCTACATGGATTTATTCGTAGCCATAATATAAGAAACTTTTGTCGCTATTAAGTGTCCGGCTCATAGACAGATTAAGTAGATCCTATAGAACCACAAATTACCTTATATTTTTTTTATAAAATCGAATATTAAATGAATGTCACATATTTAGTCAAGATCATCGCCAACTGATTATCTAGGCTAGATCTAAAAGGTTCAGGTAGTTTGAATTCAAAGGAATTGCTTAGTTTTTGAGTTATCTATGTAAATCTATAGGTATTGTCGTAGTATTTTGAAGTAGGTTATACATACATAAAATTTCCTCGGTATTTGACGACGCCAATATTTTTGCATGACATGGACTACCCCGCTATGCGTTTAGTTTAAAAGTCACTAAAACTTTTAAGTAGGTCTAGAACGAGAAATGAATCATAGTACTTACGTTTTATTTTTATCGTTAAATTACATTAAAGTATTATATGAAATATATAAGTAAACATTACGAAATGCATTCGGCTATAGAACGGTGCTCCTGCTTTTTAGAATAATAAACGAATCTGGAAAAACTTCCAGAGATATTTTACAATCAATACCATTGCGGCTGCAAGAAAATAGCGTTTCTTCTTACCGAAGAAGACAGTAACGTATGTGCAGTCTCTTAATGTTCTCCAAGTTCACGGCGTTGACCAATGTTTGGGGATGAATTGCTCTTTTGTCTCTTTAACTTACTAAGAAATTAAAAAATTGTATAATACTTCTAGCTGAACTAATAATTTCAGGCTTTAATAAAATTGCATCATAAAGATAATTAAATAGTCAATTGTTAATTTGCCATAGATCTGTTATTTTCTTTTATATCAACGCTCGTAATTAGTTGGGGCTTGAGTTTGTTTTCCAAAAGTAGTAATAATTAAAAAAAAATCATTTTCGCATCCGACCAATGACACTAATAGGTCTTGTTTCAACATGGTAACCGAAATAGACAACAAGGCTAAGGTAAGTGTTTGTTAAGATATGGAATAAACTATGTTTTATATTCTATGTTTTTGTAACTATGTTAAAATACAAATATATTTTCTTTAGAAAAAGGTTCTCTGAAATTAGAAATTTTATCGATTTTCATAGTTGTTCGTTGAATGGTTGGGAAAATCCGTGGGCGGAGAAATGGCAAGTAGGCGGGGTCACCCCATCGCGAGGGCCCGCAACCTAACAACCCTCTTCCTCATTACACGTTAGAGTGTGGTTGGGAAAGGCTCATTATCTTGTAAATTCGTGTAATAATATGTAAACAAGTGCAGCACTTGCGAAGAGCTGAAAAGATGTTCAACATGGATAGTATAAACGTAGGTTTATGTCCAGGTCTTGATACAGGTGTGCCTGTACCATTAGGAGGATCTCCAGCATCAGCTAATAGCTCTGACACTTTCCTTTACGATGACTCTTCGATGTCTGATGGCAGTCTCTACGCAAGTGATCAAGAAAATCTGTCTACGCCACGAAAAAGGTTGGTGCATTTTATTGCAACAGCGAATAAAAATTCGATTCAATGCCTTTGCGTGTTTTATATTTAATTGTTTATGTTTAGCGAATGTATGTTGTAGTCCTGAATATCCATAATCTGTATCTTACAGCTTTTATTTTATAGTAAGTAATAAATCCCCATATTGAACAATATTTTTGATGTGATAGTGTGAAAAAATAAAGTTCAATACATTTTAAACATTCCAAAATAATTTCAATTCACGTGAAAACTAGCAATACCAATTCTTTAACTTTTTTCGTAATTGCAAAAAAATCTCAAGGTGTCTCTTTTATAAGGAGGTTTTTCTTAAAAAAATACGCGTGCCTTTAACGCTGCAACAATTTGAAGAATTACATCTAATATCCGCCACATTCATGAATGATATTCCTTTCCATCGTATTAGAAACAAATGGGGCAAATTAAGGGGATTTCCCTTAAAACGATACGTCTATAAAACTTCAATGTGGCACTAACAAATTTATAGCGTTGTTTTCTTTATATGACCTTAATGTGACCTTTGTTTGTTAAGCCCTATTCATCTTTTCACGCATGAAGTGAAAAATTAACAATTTGATGTGAATATTAATAATGTTGTAATTGAACTAAAGCTTGCAAATCGTTATTTTCTTGAAAATCTGAAGGAAGTGATTTTTTTTGTTTTATAAATACCTATATACTTTAAGGGCTTTATCGCTTATACTTTTAAAAATATTCATGAAGTACAGACAAAAATAATGGTAAATTTTTAAATCAACTCATAATATATCAATTAAATCATCATCATTTTAAAAAATACACGTATATTATAACTACTCAACAAAAAAAAAACAATTTGACGATTGAGGGACGTACCATTAATGGGATTGGGAAATGCTTGTAGATCGGACTGTCGACGCCTCCACAAGCGTCGGTCGCGTTGTCCTCAGCAGCAGATGCAGCAACGGCAGGCGGCCAATCTCCGCGAGCGCAGACGCATGCAATCAATAAACGACGCCTTCGAGGGGCTGCGAGCTCACATTCCCACTCTACCCTACGAGAAACGCCTCTCCAAAGTTGACACTCTGAAGCTCGCTATTGGCTACATTAGTTTCTTGGGTGAACTGGTAAGCATATTTTGAACAATATTTTTTCTTACACTATGACTTTTCCTCGTCTTATTAAACCGTTTCCAACATACCCAAAATATACACAAACTTTCAATACAATCTGTACGTAAGGTCATTAAGAATTGAGAGTCAGGAATATTGCCTCATTGATTTCTGATATCTACAAATAATTGGCGTCATATATGTTTGTAAAAATCTATTTGTAATTCTTAACAGGTACGAACAGATCGCAGTATTTCAGACACCATGCTGTCTGGGGTCGGCAACGTTCAGAATAAGGAAGAACAGAAAAAGGTGATCATCCGAGGTAAGCTAGGACATAACTTATATCCAATTATAAATGGAAACCTAAACTTTGGAAACACAAGTAAGACTTAGTCGCTCTTCACACAAAATTTTGTATTTTAACAAAAATTACACATGCTGCCAAAAAATTTAGAATCGTAAACACAATGTTTAGATTCTAGAAGATGCCATTACCGTACTAAATGGACATCTATACTTTCCACCTACCCTACTAAGTTACGTATTTGTTTATATGTTCTCAATTCGGTAGCATCAGTTCATAGTTCATACGTTGCATCGGGGGTCGCCGCGCTGGGTCAAATGGTACCAGGGCGCGACCCCCGCCGCCCCTAAATTGTTTGTGCACCTTTTGATGATCGATAATGTCGCGATGTTAACCAAATTGCAATAACAAAAAAAATGAATCACCTTAAAAAAATAAAAGTGACTAACATATCTGTTATGCACCTCCTGTGATGTTAAGGGTTAAATCACAATAATACTTCGTACTAATATTGTTAATGTAATGTTTGGGTGGATGTTTCATTGAAGGTATCTTAAGACGGCTGTATGGATTTTTCTACAATGTTGGATAAATGTAGACCATAGTCTGGAAGAACACATAGACAAACAGGAGTTTCGGACGACATCTAGTAATATAAATTCCTGCAATTTGCGCTCTTTTAATAAAATAATTATAAGTGTATGTATATACGTAAAGAAAATAGTCAACTCTAACAACTATAAAAATTAAGTTTGATTAATCAATAGATTTTAGCATACTTAAATTAAAGTGCTAAATAATGATAAAAATAGGATTTTTTTCCTGTTATCACCATTTAATTTAGACACATCGTCCCGCCCCTCAGCACAATGATAAAATGTTAACGTGCGGATATCTGCGATCGATTGGTCCAGGTGTTGTGCCTGCGCCATTCCCACGGCGCGTCGCGTGATGACGCACCTCGTCCCGTGGGATCCGCACTAATCGAAACAATCGTCTCATTAAATTTCAATACCAACCCTCTGTTAATTATTTCAAACATTACAGATGTCAATTCATAAAAAACTGACTGTCGCCCGCGACTTACCTAACATCCATCCATCTATCCATCTAAACATTCATAAAATAAGTAAGATATGTTACAAGTTTCCAAATCAAAAGATGAATTCTTTTAAATATTCAGTTATCAAAATATATTGCTCATACGATTACGTATATTTACTCAATATGGGGCGCGAAATTTTTCGTTAAGTGAATGCATTAACAAAGTGTATTTGTTAAGCTTTGCGTTTGCGAATCACGCTGTAGCAAATTAAGTGCTCACCCTTTGTAAACACAAGGGAGGAGTGAATTTAAAAACTATTAAGTTCTTCACACCCCCTTATGTGACACGATGAACTTTTTTTTATTATACGAGTTAAAGCAGATATACAAATCATACTCAGAAACTTACTTTTTATATGATACCGTTTTAAATATACTTGTTAATTATACAATCCACGATTTCCTAGCAGTTCATAATTTTCCTAGACTGATTACAAACTAGTAGTGTTCATAATCTGTTGTTACGTTAAAACATTTTTTTATAAATCTTCTTTCGGAACCTTCAATACAATGACTTAAAATTATAAAAATAATATCTTCAATTAATATCCTTTCAAACGTTACAATAAAAACGACAAAAAATACTTTTCGTAGTGAGTGCCACATAATCTCTTTTTCAATTAATAAAAACACCTTATCGAAACATAATATAGGATTTACATAAAGATTATCGCGCACGTGTACCATTGGACCCCACTTCTATTGACTCTACCGTCGGACTCTACTCAATGCCCCACTCCTAAAATATGCAAGCTAGAGCCGAATAAAAATACAGTTCTCAATTTTTTATTTACTGGCTATTAAAACATAACATTCATACGTGCAATGAAAAATAACTGTGACATTTTAATGACAACTATTTGACTGTAATTTATTTTTGGGTATTTTGAATCTTATCTTTTTTTTGCCAAAATGCCCATTAAAATATTACTTGCTCGGCAAATCTTTGATTCAACGGGAGTTCCGACCGTAGAGGTAGATATGGTTACGGAACTCGGTCTCTTCAGAGTTGGCGTACCAAATACTGATGTGAAAAAGATTGCTGAGGCAGTGCAGTTGCGTGATAATAATCCTTCTGAATACCTGGGAATGGGGGTAACCAATGCTGTTAAAAATATTAATACGATAATCGCTCCGGAACTTATAAAACAAAACTATGAAGTCACAATGCAAAAAGAAATAGATCAATTCATGTTGGCTCTTGATGGTACCGAAACTAGATCAAGACTCGGAGCTAACGCTATTATGTGTGTTTCAATGGTTGTTGCCAAAGCTGGAGCAGCGAAAAAAGGAATGCCTCTATACAGACATATTTCCGACATGGCCGAAGTCACCTCCATAATAATGCCTGTTCCACATTTCACGATACTAACTGGTGGAGTACTAACCTCTAATGAATTGCCTTTTCAAGAATATTCAATAATGCCCACAGGTGCTTCTTCATTTTCCGAAGCGTTGCGACTAGGTACTGAAATTTATCAATACGTCAAGAAAACTATAATTTCAAAGTTTAAAATGGAAGCATCATACGTAAGCGATAACGGCGGTTTTTCTATTCCATTGCGAAGTAACAGAGATGCTTTAATTTTTCTAACGGATGCTATCAAACAGTGCGGATACACTGGTAAAGTAGAAATTGCTTTAAACGCCTCCGCTACGGATCTATTTAAAGATGGAGCATATGACTTGGAGTTTAAAAATCCCAACACCAATCCTCAAGACTACATGTCCTCCGATAAGCTTGCTGAATTGTATCTTGAATCTATGAAAGAGTTTCCGGTATGCTCATTCGAAGATGCTTTTGATTACGATGATTGGGCTGCTTGGTCCACACTGACCTCTCGCACTCAAGCTCAATTATTTGGAAATGATTTGACTCAGACTAATCTTAGAAGAGTAGGGTTGGCTGTAGAAAAACGAGCTGGTAATACTTTAGGTATCCGTATCAACCAATCGGCAACACTCACGGAATTAATAGAGGTATTCAAGTTGATAAAAACAAGTGGATTTGGTGCCGTAGTATGTGACAGATGGGGTGATACGGATGATCTATTCCTCGCTGATTTGGTGGTTGGGCTTTCCGCTGGCCAGGTAAAATGTGGCGCTCCTGCCCGATCTGAACGAATGGGAAAATACAACCAGATTTTAAGGATTGAGGAGGAACTAGGTGCGTTAGCAAAATACGCAGGAAAAAATTACCGCGGTTCACTTTAATTTCCTTTTTTTTCTCTCGAACTAAAAGAAAAAATAGTCGACGAAGTAAACTCCGTGTATTTGGATATTCATGATTTGTGGTACTCTTAAATGCATGACAAGCGGTGTAATTACCGGAAATGTTCAATATGTCCATTGTGATATAGTCCTAAACTGTTATTAATGCACTTGTATAAATGTTCGTCATACTGTAGGGGTGTGCTATTTAAAAATATCGATGTCTTCTCAAAAAATAAAAAATTATACGTTTAAGCATGACTTTTGTTTACTTTGTAATTAAAAAAGTAAAGTCTATTTATTTATTTTTTTTATTTTTCGAAAAGTAACGTTTACAAGAAAAAAAATAAAACGATTATTACATAATATATAATATAAAATTGTATAAAACAATATCGGGGATTGTTACGAGTCACATATTTCGAACGGTGTGATGTTTTAAAATTTATCTATCAGCATCATAAATTTAAATTTGTGTAGTTCAATCAGCAAAACTCAAGCGGCATCTAAAATATTCATCGTAGTATCGATAATTATTTGCCAGCCCTAGAAAAATAATAGAAAGGGGACATAAGGGACCGCACGTGCGCGCGTCCCCCGCTTTTCCCCCAACACAACACCCTGATATTGTACCACATCGCGAAATGTTTAGTTAGAAGAGTCCCCACAAAGAATTGTTTAAGCTCTCTTCAGCATAATTGCAGATAAATAAGAATTGTGTTTGTGCTCAGCGAGGGCCGTACGCCGGCTATTGTGCGAATCTAATTGATAGTTCACCGATCACGGATTAGCCATTTAATTTTACTACAAATATCATGAAATAATACAAATGCCATGGAGTTCTGACTAATTTACTATTAACTAACTTTTTTTTTAAATCGCCAAAACGTAATGGCGTTGCGTTTTTTTAAATAATAAAGTTATTGAACGCTGACGAGATAACACAAATTAAAAGCATTAAAACAAAAAAGAAAGAAACACAATGAAGTTATTGAAACATCTACAGGTGATTTAAGTATATTTTTATATCAAAGCTACACACCCATTTGAGGTTTCCTCCAAAGCAATGTTTTAGGTGACATTTTTTTAAATAATTTATAATTCACTCGAATATTTAAAAGTAAGTAAGACATAACTTTCAATATGTGCTAAATAAAATTTTAATTGGAATTAGTCAAATTTACAACAGAGTGTGCGAGGCATAATTAACAAAGGTCACGGTGAATTTGCAAATTCAATCTACCAGAACAATAACAATCAAATAAGGCGTAATTTAAAGTATACCAACCTGCAAGTAAACATAAATAGGTTATAGATAATAGTAGATAAGATATGAATACAGATTACAAATTAAAAATCTTTCATGTAATCTACCTTCTAGGTACCGGTGATTTTTAATAGCCCTTTTAAATCTGTTGAATATCGTTTAAACGTAAATCGTGATAAAACTAATTAGTTTGGATTATTTACAGGTAGTAATTTCCAAGCACATTCATTGTCTTGGTCTCGTCGTGGAGAAAGGCCGACTGCTGGAACACTGCACGCTAAAATTTGGGTGCCAGAAGATCCTAAGATGTTCTGCAACTCAAACAGCATTGAGAAGAAAGAATAAATTTTACAATATTAGTCATAACAAATTTTAAAACCTGAATCTATATATTTCAGAATATTGTTATATTGTTAAAGTTATTATGTAACAAGCTTAATTGCGCCTCTATATTGTGTATATATTAACTAGTTTTTATGTTAAATTAAATTATGTTAATAACAGCGAACGCCATTTAGGTAATTAAATTGTATTTAAGTTATAATGACCATAAATAATTTGGTTTCCTTCACCATCATTTAAAACATACTTCCTGGAATATCTAATGATATTTTCATGTAAATATGACCGAAAATAGGATTACCAAAAACGTTACGAGTAAACGATAGACGATCCTTCGTATAATTTGTTGACTTATTCTTATTTTATTATTGGTGGAAAAAAAACCTAGGCAATAATTGGTTTTATACAGGTTTTCCGACAGTGGAAACCCATGGTAACATTACGCAGACATAGCGAAACACTGGCGTGTTCTCACCGAGAGGCGGGGTTGGCATGTGAACCAACATCTGCGGCCAATCCAACAACGCTGGATATTGATCGAGCAACACCCCAAACTGTCTGAGACATCAGATTTTCTACTTTCATGAAATATTTCAGTACTGACGCCATAATATATTGTACGCTAATTAGTAGTCATTGAATCAGGAACATCGTGTACCAACGAGAATTTGGAATAAATTGTATATGTAATCCGCATTCCTTATCTGAAAAGGTTTTAGGAGATAGAACCAACTTGATTAACTATTCCTTAATATAGTTTGGCCTAAGTTTCAACGGATTTCGTTCACTTATTACAAGAAGTTGTAATACTTTAAAGATAGAATACGAACAGCAAGCCCCACTACCTCAATCGGTAGGCTAAACGCAAAAGTTTATTACAATCTTTATATTTATCTGCCATTTGCGATACTACGGTATAAATTTTTTAATGCTACTGTACAGAAAAGAAAAATAGGATTGGGTTAATAAGTGATTCACAAAGGCGGGAATTTACCAAAATATGAAACATTGGATACACAAGTAGAAGAATAAATAAAAGGAGATACCAAGCAGTAATAAAGTTTTAAAATTTCTTGTAACGTTGATATATTCAAAGACGTCGTAGAAATGTTTTATCGATTGATTTTACCTTGGTCAAGGTACCACATAAAACGTTATCTAAGTGCTCGTGTCCAATAAAACTTCTACGTACTAACCGTGACTTTCAAAACCAAAATCCCCGTTTAAAACATAATGTTATACCTGTTTTGTCAAAGACGGCAGGGATGACATGTTTCATATAGATATTTTAATCTAAAAAACCAACGACAAGCTAGTATCGGGACAAATACGACTACAAACATGTATTGAATACAATATGACTGACCTGTTTGGCCTTGCAAGGCAATAAAGGTTCGCCTTTAAAATAAACACAAATAGTAATTTCTTTTTACTTTTAAATATTTATGTCGAATTATTAAGAAAATGAAATGCACATAAATTTATTTTGGGATATTGTTCATGTTATTACTTAGGTGATTTATTTTTAGTTTACATGTAGATGTACTTATATTTCATGTAACCTGTTGTTTCATTTAAAGGGTTTTAAAGAAAAAAAAGTTTTACTTTTAATTAATACAGCTTTATTTGGCATAACAAAATACACCTACAAATATCATTAATATGTAATCAGTCGAATAATTCACAAAAAAATCAGAATCGAAAATCAATTTGAAAGTAATTAAATTTTATATTAAATTCAGCTATGGGAACAGGAAAAAATTATATAGAATAAATCTTACTATTTAAAAACAACAGTGTCGCTTAAAATTATTACTAATACTACTATAATAGTGAAATACACCTCACTATCACCATATTCTTACTATTAGAGAACATTTATTTGCTAGAAAGAACTAATTGTATACAATTCGTGTCTCAATACTAGTGCGCAGAAGCTTTGCCAATGGTATGACGTCACGCGTTAACTGCTTACTAATAGCAGATGACCGCGGGTCGCGGTTGTTGTGAATAGTAGGAGAGTCATCAGCAAACGTTCTAGGCTTGGTTAATATGCATACAATCAGAAGCTACCAAAATATGCTAAAAGGTCTGAAATCACTGATGCATCATCGAGGAAAATGCCTACGTTTTAGCTACAAACAACTATTTATTTAAAATGCTTATATGAACTTTTATGTTTAGTAATTAAATATCTATAAAGCATTTTATGGTGCACACAATGGTGTTCCAAATTTCATTTGCATGTTTTTGTAATTACATTTTAACTGATATATATTTCTAGATATAAACTTTAGATGACTGTGAAGATTATTATGCTAAAAAATGAATTTAAAATTTTCCTTTATTTTTGCAACTATCCTTTTATATTTCTTATTACATGTAATAAAAAAAAAAACATAAAAAAGAACCATAAAACACTATGAAATACTACAAAAATGACTCCATTATTGCTAGCCCGGTATTTGCGCACATATCCCCGAAACAAATACATCGACTTCAGGTGATTCAGAATAGATTCATGCGTAGAGCCACGGGAGCCCCGTGGTACATGCGCAACAGTGATCTTCATATAGACTTGGACTTGCCCAACACCTGAAGTTAGCGTCGCGTCGTTATTTTGACTCTGCCGTCGGCCATCCTAATCCACTAGTTGTAAGTGCCGCCACTTACAAACCAATCGCACTCGGTAAATTCCGTCGGGATCATCGTAGACCTAGGAACATCCTTGACTTACAAGACGATCCAATCCCTATCGCTCGAGCTAAGGTAAAACAACACAGACAGATCAAACGCCGCAGTCGCTGTCGGCTGCGGACATCATTCTCGCGATACGGCCTCATAGCAGGAAGATTTTCTCCTATTAATAATAGAAGCGTTGCTGGAGTTTCTTCCGCCACTTCTTCTCCCAACGATAACGCTTTCCGAAGTGATAGTAATGTTAGATGTATTTATAGCTATCCGATAATAGCAACCGATCAAGCCGAGGTTCGGCCCTATCGGACACCCTTGAATCTAGTAACTATAACGAAGTAACAGCCCGAGTCGAGGCTCTTGAGGGAGCCCTCGAGTCTTGTTACTCTTAAACGAGGATCAGGCTAAGCCTAATTCACGGCATTTGCGCTGGGCCACCTCAAGCCCGGTGAAGCTGTAAATGCCTCTTCAAGGCAAACAGTGACTACTCAGTCACAAAAAAAAGACTCCATTAATTTGCATTTAATTGTACGATAACAGAATTACAACCTATTTTGATTTATCAAATTCATTAATGATTAAGAACAATTTTTTAATGTCACTACCAAAATTAAAACGTGGTACAACATTTTTAATACCAATACAAAAAAAAACTAACCGAAAAAACGACATATGTTTTTTAACATTTAAAAAAAATATAACAAACAATAAAGATTTTCAGTAGTGCATAATTTTTTCATGTTCATCATTAAACATTGTATTATCACATTATGTACCAGGTATACCGGTATGAAGTGAGCGTCAAGATACAAATGTCTAGATAAGGAACATTTGTTTAGAACGAGCCTTTATTTTTTTTTGTTTGTTTGCTATGACATCTGTGAAACATATTTAGTCTACATCAAGTCATTGAACAGACATCATCATATTTTTTCATCGTGTTAAAAATGTCAAATTTTGTACCAGAAAGTGATGATTTGAGGAAAGCATTAATTTTTTGTTTTCATTTGAAGAAAAGTGCTGCAAGGTCGCATCGAATGCTTGTCGAGGCATATGGTGAATACTTTGGCCAATACTTTGAATAAAATGTTTTTTACTTTCCCATTAATAATTAGTGATTTATTTTCACAAAAAAACGCTAATTTCATACCGGTATACCTAATATATCAAACAGAGCAAAATAACTCTTGTACATTTAAATAGACAATTTATATACTTTTTTAATATTTGGTACTTTATCAACATTAATATTTATTCATTTTTAGTTACTTTTCTTACATTAAAATATTTTAGAGACCATATGAGTAGGGGTTTATAAGCAAAACCCCATGGCAAGAAAATTATAAAACCAGAAAAATAGAGGCTGGAATATATGGACCACCATTTTGATATTACTTTCACATCAAAGGGTACCAAGCTCCAACCCATAAACACTATTGTGTATATCTTCAGAATGACATATAAAATGTATCTAGCAAATTTATTCTGCCACATTTCATGATAAATCGCAGTTTTACTTATAATACTTTCAAATTCTTTTTCCATGTAAATAATAATGAATTCGTTGAAGAAGGTAACATAATATCCTGATCTAGTACCATGCCACAGCGCTAAGAAGAACAGAGTGAACAGTTGACTCAGATTACGGTTACCTAAGAACTTGAGACGTTTATATATGTACTCGGCAGCAAAATGATTTGTATTACAATTGAAGCTATCAATATAATGTTGAAATTTCGTTGCACCTTCAAAGCACAGCAATTTGATGTTGCTACAGCCGTCCCAGTTAGATAACTTACCTGGTGTTTCATCCGCACGGTTATATGAAATACCAATTCTGATGCAGGATGCTGTCAAAATATTACACAAAATATTAGAAATAATATCCTCTCTAATGTTTATTTATCTATAATTATAGATAAAACTAATGTAAACATATATATTAATATATACTATACAACATTGTGTAATCATATTTGATAATTTATTTCCATTTTGTTTTAATTTGAATAGTAAAGTTATTATTTCAATAGAATCTTAATTTGCTTAAACAATACTTGACTTTACTTATTTTACACAAAAATATTTGTTGTGAAATGTTAATATTAGTCAGTATATGTATTTCTATATGTTGATAAACACTTTATTATAAAATCACAATACTTAAACCATATTTTTTTGTGAAATAATATGATGTAATATTGAAGAACATATCATTTCTTGGGCCTTTGTTTCACTACCCTTCCCTACAGGTTATCATTACAGTATACTCTTCCATATATCTCTATTAGCTGTCATATCTTAAATAAACTTATTTGTGGTGATGATTTTGTCGTAATAATCTCATTTCCAATGTCCATGTAACCATTATATGTTTATTACAGGTTATAAGGTCAATGGGTCATTTAAACTCACAAAGACGTGGTACACAGTGTTGTAGTTCAGTAAAGGCATATGTGGTAATAGTAAAATACAGCATTGTATTCAAATTATTTTAGAAAATAACATATTTGTATATGTAAATTGTTAAAACTTATAAAGTTACCTTCAGTTAGCAGCCAACAGGAGATGTATTTGTAGAGAGCAAAATGGGCCCACAAACCACAATAAAAGTGTCTGTAAAATATAGACGTCTCCCAAAACTCATCGGATAACATGTATTTCACATTAAAGACAGACCCTGAAAAAAATTATTGAAATAGGTGTATCTAGTTTTAAAAATGTGATACAATGCGAAAATATTTTGACAGAGTAATTTCACAGTTGCATACTAAGACCCACACACATACATTGACAATGTCGTCAATCAAATTTGTCGGTCAAATTCCTGTAGTAATAGTAAAATTTAATTTGATAAAAATGATGGCTTCTTTTTTATGTCGTAGAAGTTTCTTAATATATCAACAATTTTTAATTTTATGTTACAAATACGCAAATTATTTGTTATTGTGTAATTACTGGGAATTTATTAATTACTTTATAAAACTTACCTCCAACTTGAAATGCGGCCAAGTATGCTATGCCCTGTATTAGCCTCTTCATAGCTTTGGTCTCGTAAATATGTTTTGTATTCACTATTTCCTTATCAAATGGGAATCTTTCAGACAAAAAGTCAGAATATCTCTTAAACGAGAATATAGGTCCAACAAGAAAACAAGCTGGGAAATACACAAATCCAATAAGTTCCAACAATGAAGGTGTTTCACGGAGTGCTGTTTTTTTACTATTTTCTGATAATTCTGCGCCTTTTAAGAGTTTTTGCCCATCCCATAGATCAAAAGACAAGGCAATGAGCTTCAAAGTTAATACACAGTGAGGCATTGTCCATGTGATATCATAATTCTCTGATTCTGTCATTATGTAACCAACAATGAGATATGTCATGTTGAAAACAAATGATATAATCACATTCAGTTTGCCGGGTCCAAACATAGATGTTGTAAAATATATCATGAGTGCTGGTACAGTGTTGTGTATTATAGCTTTTCCAAAGTTGTACAATGCTATGTCTGCACCAGTAATAACAAAATACAGGTTCCTATATTCAGGGTATTTTCGTACATATTTATGGTAAATAATACCCAAAGGATAACCCAATAAAATTGATATTAATAGCCTCAGAGCTGGCTCAGTTGTATTTAATATATTGGCAAGAAAAGGGACGGGGCTGAGCCCTACCCAGCTTAATATGGAGAGAAAGAGTCCAAACATATTGATTCTGAAAAAAAATAGTACAAAAAAGGTGATTGACACAGTAGTACATTTTTAAAACTCCAGTTTTAGATAATTTATTTTATCTAGATCGTGTTGTCAAATAATAAAAAATACTATCACTATTTATTAGAATATGTGTTCATTTATTTTCAAGTAACAGAATGCACACACAATGTGTAACACTTGTTACTTTATTAAGAAGGACATCACAATTGTTGCACACAGAATTGTGAGAACGCCAATTTAACTAATTTTACATAACAACGTGGCATCTTATCTTTTCATCGGCAATTAATAGAAACGCAGGTAAAAACTAATTCTAAAATTAACTTCTTGAAATGGATTCTAAAATATCTAATTCAAATAATTTTTTATGAAGTTCTTAAACTATATTCATATATAAACTACTACTTATATTTATATCAATAATTTAAAGTAATATTAATTTAATATAAGCACTACTTACCTCTTATATCAATAACAATGTGGTTTAAATAATCTACAATTACTAATTCCCTAGCATTGTTGCTTCCTATAGCGATAACAAAGAAATATGAAAAATGTGACACCGCCGAGTACGAAGCAATAGCAATGGCCGATTCCCGAATCTTGCCCGATTCGAACCGATAGTATATTCAGTGTTGCTATCCAAAAAGAAGATAATGAGTGTTTTTATTTTATATACTCTTTGGTTTTATTTCTTTATACTTATTGATGTCTGCTTTTTATCCTTACTATAAATAGAAACTTTCACCATATTGCAGAAAATAAAAACCTACAGTAATAATTTCATGTATTGGTAGTTTGGTAGCTACAATTTCGTTAAAGATGTCTCCATTGATTTGCAACTTTTTTCATCTACGTCAATCAAACTCAAATTATGACAATTAGAAATCAAATCTAGTATTTTCAGTATTGTAGGATCTTTTGTAATTATTGCTCTTATATATAGACCGACAATACTCTTGTAAACCAGTGGAGTAGACATAAGTCAAATTAAATTTTGATAGCTCACTAGCGCCCCCTTGTCAACGTGAAAGAATAACACCAGTGAATTTAATTTCTAAATATGGCAATGAGTGACTGGCATTAGTTTAGAATTGTCACCGTCAATTTCCGTCAATTATTTAAATACTCTTTGGTCAATTTGATTTTAACTGACAATCTTACTTTGCTGACTTGACCTTAGATAACATTCTTAACATTGGCCACTTTTATATACCGTTTGACTAGGCATGGGTAGCTTAACTAAAATTGATGATTTCCAGTTCCGCTTACGGTTTATACTCGTATGTATGAAGAAGCAGATCAATGAACCGGCTCGTAGCTCAGCACAATTTGTAGCTGCATAGAGTTATCATTTGCGTTTCGAACTGCAAACTGTGAGTCATCATTCTTTGGCTCATATAGTTATATCACATCGCGATAAATTATGAGCTGCCAATTTATTGCGCTGACGCTTAACAACTAAATTATTCACAGCTGATGACACTGTCTAATGTGTGAATGAAAGGATGTTTGTAGAAGGTAAGGTATCTCCAGAACAGCTGCAAGATCTCGATGAAATTTGGTTTAGATGTACGGTTCCTGATGGACATGTTTGATTTACATATAAACTTAATAACTCCGCATATCTTATACTTTTTTCGCTTCTTTTTTTAAATTCTGGGTATGCGAAATCGCAAGTAAAAGTTAGTTGTTTACATATAAAAAAAATATTGCAATCTTTTTCAATGCACTATTAATCTTTACAAGAGGATACATTGAGAAGTAAATATAACATCTACTTTATCAATAAGTAGGTAATGTAATGTAGCTATACATATGCTGCAGTTTTTATTGATACCCTTCAACATTATCTTATTTCTTACTCTTATAACAAAACTTGGCAATAAAAACAATCAGTATTTCTTCCGTAAAAAGTTTTTTAATCATAATGCCAAGTCGGTCTATTCAGTACCTACCTAAGGGACATTCTGTATTACGTAATTTTTAGATTTTTTAAATACGCGTGGACAGAATTTGGGGGACAACTAGTAAATAATAAACAGACATGTTTCTTAGCTCAAAAAGGTTTCTACTTTAACAATCATACGAATTACTATGAAAGACGAATAGAAATGTTGACAGTTTTTAGGTTTTACCTATATTTTTACCATGGCTGTGTTATAATTATGATATTTGAAGATTTTTGAGGATAAGGTAACTCACAGCGACCATGTATTCTTTAGTGAAGGGAAATTTAGACATCTTTCACGAGATTCGCCACCGAGATTAATAAGTATATGTTGTTCCTCTACATACGACTTTAGCTTGAAACATTAAAATCGTCTTCGAACACTTATTAAGCCATACAAAATTATATCATCGTTCCCAACAATCACTTCCCCAATGATAACAGATTCAAAACAATACCACGACCAGTGTCTGGTCCAGGTAGCTTTAGTGCGCTGGATGCTGGCGGCACAGAGCTAAAATCTTATAGATTTAAATGTTACAAAGTAGCAAATTCAAAAATAGCGACAAATATTCAATACGCAGTACTTAAAGGTGAACTACGTGCTAACGATTCGGCACAGACGGCCCCACTTATCCCCCCGTATACATTTACATCTGATTTCGATCTTGTCACCGTGACCTCTGTAGGCCCAGGGCCGTCTTGACTATGATGGTCGCTACTGTAATAACTTAAAAAAATATTTTTAATAAAAAAACTATAAAGAGTACGGAAAGCTTTCATAGCATATTAGTTTTTTATTCTCCAGCCGACAGTTTCACGACGAGAAATCAATTTTTTATTTATAAAGAAAACTCAGACGTCCGGTTTTACTTCATCATGTGGTGGAGACGGTTTAGATGAATTTCCACTGAGATAGTGTGGTACTTGTAAGTTTCGTCAGTGTCCATTAAAACTTAAAAATACAACAGTTGAATCAATTAAGGAATGGGATCGATATTGTACAAAACCCAATTTAATCCGCATCATATCCATTTCAGTACATAAAAATAAGACTTCACTTAGCTTTTTAAGATAATATTTTATCCCTAACTAACGTTGGTTTCTGAGACCATACCGTATAAAATATATCGTCATCCCTTTCATTATCTTTGCTCAAACAGAGATATGTTTTAATGTGATCTTAGAAACCCAAGGTTAGTTAAAAAGACTTCTTTTACTTTCTTCGATCATACAAAATCATGCCCCTTGCATCATTTCACCCTGGGCAATAGGCCTTTTTGTCCCTGAGATAAATACGTCCCTGGCCATACTGGCATACCAATTTCCATACATCCATTTATATCCCTGAATATGTTTACTCTGCACGTGCTCTATCTACGTCAGTCTTTGCTGTGTTTATGCCTGCATTGGAAATTTCTAGAAGGCGGACGAATACAATTCAAGGAAGACTTGAAGATTTTGCCATTTGTAGATTAGCCCTTTAGCTGGGCGGTCTTCGTACGAAAAATTCTAAATATTGTCATTTTGTTAAAATGCATTTACTATTTTGTCTTTTTGTTTGCCTGAGCTGCACTTTTGCTCAAGTTTCAATAAAATATTCAGCGATGCTATTTAGTTCGGGTTTTAATACGTCGATAAAGCCGTATCCTACAGATCCATTACGTGATGAAGCTGTATGGCCGTATAAATATAGCAAACTCATCGATATCGGTAATGAACAGCATCACGCTTTAGGACGATGGTTTGGAGAACGATACCTTGTAAGCTTATTCATTTTATATATACAAATTGAACTGATTTCTATGGCGTCTTGAATTAAATTTGTTATTTAACATGTTCATTGTTTTCAGAATGCGTCTTTAAATCGATGTGACCCTGAAATGATCTCCGCACGCTCTATCGACGAAGATGTATCTATAAAATCGGCACAATATAACTTAGCTGGTAAGATGATTTTTAATATTTATCTGCTCCCAACTTCTTGACTTCATAAAATATGATCTGTTAAATTTATATCTGTGAATAATGAAACAAAATTTCTTTAGGTATGTGTCTTTCAAATATGAGCAACAACAATCTTACGAAAGCATATTTGGCCCAGCAACCGATTTTTATAACAACCGTACCAGTAAATGATGATGAAATTTTGGCTATGAAAAGATTATGTCCGGAATATAATAAACTCAAAAATGAATTTATAAACACGGAGTACTTTAAATATAGACTCAATTTCTACAAAAAACTACTGGAGTAAGTAGCTTTTTTTAACCATATTTATCCATTTCATATAACTTCAAACTGTTACTTAGTAGATTAAGTTATTTCTAAGCTTTTGGTACCTGAGAATGTGTTTTTGGCAGTGGTAATGCATAGTGTTAACTTATAATATCACCAGTTCTGAAAATGTTTTAAACATGTGTATAACAAAGATGGTACAGAGTATAGTGTGTCAATTTAAGGATGGTTAGTTTGACAATTCACTAGAGTTGGGTTGAATAAAATCGGTTATGAATCTTTTCGATTTTATCAATTGAACACATCAAGATTATTGTATTTTAATGAATATAAAAATTAATTGTGATTTTCTATTCCTAGTGTTTTTTTTATTTACATTATTTTACAAGACCGATCCACTTAGTTCACGGTTATTCGTTATACCGCTACGGTCCGACACTATGTCACCCGTCCATTAAATACAACAAAAATCATCAAACAAATTTAATTTTTCATAAGCATCAGTAGTCCAAACTAATCATCCTTAAATAAACACAATATAAATAAGTTCTTTCCTCTGAAATCATCTCTAGTTATAAGTTCAACAATTTTAATAATTTTTCCTTAATTTAATGAATATTTTTTAATGAATGTCTGTGTAAATAAATTTTAGTTACTTATCGGAACATACAAACAAGACCGTTGAAAGCTACGATGATATTAATGAAATTTATAACATTTTGTTGGTCGAGTCCTCGTACAATTTGACTTTGCCAAGCTGGGCTCAAGCGGTTTTTCCAAAAAAACTCGAAGATCTGGCGTGTTATAGGTGAGCTATTATATTTTAATTAGCTTAGTGTTTTTTTTTAATTAGGTGAATGTGATAATTGAAATGATTCCGAAGTTAATTATTTGCAATATTTTTTAATGTCTGGCAGGAACCTTAAGCATATTTAAGATCCAACTTGAATCCAATTGAGTGGCCAGTTTTTGTACATTTGTTAATCTACTTTTAACCTACTTAAATTTACGTAATTACCTTGAAAAACTTACAGTTCATTTAGAGAATATTGATGAAAATAATTTCGTCATAATTAAAAATTCCATTTTAATAGTAATAATTGAAAATCATACTAATATAATTGGGAATGTTTAGATGAATGAATGGATGTTTGTTTGAAGGTATCTCTAAAATGGTTGAACGGATCTCGATAAAACTTGGCATACATATAGAATATAGGCTGGAAGAACACATGGGCTACTAATTTTCTTTTTTTTAATTCCGCGCGGACGAAGTCGCAGGTGATATGTAGTATTTCATATTTTTCAGTTATGCTTTGTCATCTGCAACCCCAACTATGGCCCGTTTATTGGTGGGACCATTGATCCAAGAAATTGTGAGTAACATGGCTTATACAATGTTGGAGATGCCAAATGATGTTACATTGTCAATATATAGTGGAGATGATAGCACAATAGGTAATGTTCTGAATGCTTTGAATTTGTTTGATGGGCAATGTCCACTGACCACTGCAACAATTATAATGGAACTTTTATATGGCAAGTAAAAGTATTATTTTTTCACCTATTAAATTTTATTAAAATTATGCCTACATAAAAATCGTAACGAAGCTAGTTGAAAAATTATCAAGGTTTAAATCAAAATCGAATTGAAACATCTTAGAGGCTCGCAACACATATGTGTTTCCCCTGGTGTTGCGGATATCCATGGACGTCGAATCAACTAATAGTAGGCAATCGTTTGCTCTTTCTCTTAAAAAAAACCTTTGAATATTATAGGTACGATAATTTTGATGGATGGATGATTGTTATCCTCCGGAAATGCTGAACGATTTTTGATAAAATCTGATACATATTTAGCTTACAACCTAGATTAGCAAATGGGCTACATTTGTTTTTTTTTTTTCAATACATATATAACAATACATTCAATTAAATTTTTACAGATAACTCCACAAATGATTTTTACGTGAGAATATTGTATCGGAGCAACAAAGACATGGTTGAACCCTTTGCTATAGACATACCTCATTGTGGAACCCCATGTGGATTTAGAAATTTTACTCAGATATACCGTCATCTTATGTCAGTTGATTGGAAAGAAGACTGCTACAAGGTATATATTGTAATAATAAAAAATGTTCTTAATGACACATTCACATGATTATATTATTTGGACACTAATTTATTATTATTTCAGGACGAAAACGATTGGACATTTACACGAAAACTTATAATAATACTGTTTCTCCTAATATTCTGTACTTTTGTACATTGCGCCTATTATTTGTGGTTTGCCATTGATAAAGAAGCTTTGAGGTGAGTTGTATGAAATTATCAACACAATAAACAAAATTACTCATTAACCCATCAAACGTCACGACGAACATCTATATGATCTGACATACTTCGGCATATATTAAATCCAATATAAACAAATGTTATGATTTTTGTTTGTACTGTTTATCATTACCTAAATAATAAATCGTTCGTAATCTTTTTGGATGAATACACACAAAAGTGTATATGTTCATTTAACACAGCATAGACCAATGGTTCCCAAACTTATTTTGTCTACTGCCCCACTTTGAGAATAAATATTTTTAGCGCCCTCTTATTTTCACATATTTAAAAACCACTATAACTTCAAATTAAATTAAATAATTATTGCGACCTATATATGTATATTAACGGAGAATTCTAAACGAAACTTTTACTATAACCCGCAACTTGAGACCTGCAGCGCCCACAAGGGGGCGTTATCGCACACTTTGAGAAAGACTGGTATAGACGAATGTTAGTTTTATTTGAACAAGTTAATTGATTTTTTGTTTTTCTTTCAGCGAGGAAGACTACCCAGATGTTATGATGGTACAAGTGTTTACATTTTAAGCTATTATGATGGGAACTCAGTCCTCATTTATAGTGCCTTTCACTTAACCCTTTTTAGTGTAACTTAGTTCAGTTCAGTTTTTGGAATTATTCATTGTTGGTGTCTCACATTCGTCTTGGAAATAATTTTACTTTGTTTGGTTTTTCATAATTTTATATAATAAAATCTTTACTAAAACTTGTTATATCGTATGATTTAACTTTTAAATAATAAAAATTCTAAAAGAAAAAATTGTTGTTTGATTTATCTTTTTTAAGAAATCTGTCAAAACCCAAACAAAACCGTCTAGCTAAAGTACGAAGCCCTTTAAATCAACAAAATTACATTAAAATACATTTAAATGTATTGGTTTTCCTTTTATTCTGTTCGGAATTCATTCTAAATTTTTAAAAACCAAAAGACTAAAATCGAACTTGTCTAAATCTGAAAATCTCTCACTACCTATATGACAACTAATAGTGCAAATAGTAAGGAACAAATACACCTAACAGTAGGTTTCCACTGCGAAGACACTTGTTTTATTACATATATTCCCTTTCATTCTCTTTGACAAAACATAGACAACGATATGTTATATAAATTAATACAAGTGTTACTCCAATGTAAACCCAGGCGTTTGATCTTTTACAGTGTAACAAAAAATACCCCAAGCGTTTTTTTTTATTAAAGATAACGCGCCGAGCAGCGCGTACACAAAATAGCAGGTAAAGCAACGCCGAGCAAAAAAATGCTATTGTCTTTGTATGTAATGTAAATAGATTTAGGCATTAAAACAAACCAAATATTATGTCTACTCTAAAAATCGTGGTTGTTTCTAGACGATTATTAGATATTATTGTGTAATACAAAAATAAGTTCCTCTAATGAATAATATTTCATACTAATATTATAGATAGGAAAACGTTGTGTTTTTATATGTAACGAATAAACTCAAAACTAATTGTTTGATTTCAAAAATCTTTTGCCATTGTAGAGCTACATAAGTAACTTAGACTTTATTTATTATAACTAACGTTTAGTAAATATTAAAAAATAATTCTGAAAGCCTTAAAATTTGCTTTTTTTGCATTACGTAAAATGTTAGTCATATGAAAATAATGAACGCGAGAATTGTACATCTCAAAGTGCTAATGGTATATAAGAGATTTTACATTTTTCACACAATAACCACTTTTCGCTTGAGAAAAATGGATTAATTTTAGATAAAAAAACGGATGAAAATGGATAATTCATAACAACTGAATTCGATTCACATATATTTGAAGTCCGAATCGATTCTTTCGCTTTAATCGATGTTTTAAGCAGCTAACTGCAGCTCTCCTCTCTATGAAGCTTAAAATGATAGATGTCAAATGTTGCCTTCTAAATTGGCCCAGATTTGTGTTACCCATAGTAACACAAATTTTTGAAAACAAGTTTGTAAAGAATTGCACTTTCAAATCAGCGATACGACATTATAATAATTAATGCGATGATTATAGGTTCCAATTTCACTCCAATAGCAGAAACACAGACCAGCTACAAAGTTTCCGAAGAAACATAATGCCTAACTTAAATTATATTAGTACAGTACAGAGGCCTAGCATAGACTGCTTTGCCTCACTGGCGCCAGTTACTGTTTTACATTATGCTAGTTATATGCCAGCGCTGCTTTTGAACACTATTGTTTCACTGTACTGGCATAATGTAATCCAGGCAGCCCAGTGGCTTTTAAAGTTGCCATTGTGAAGAACAAGCAATGACTTGGATATTTACCAGATATTTATCAAATATTCGCTATAATAAAAATAATAGTATAACTGTATATTAGGAGAAAATATTTCAGTTAAAGAACACATTTTTTTCTACATAATAAGCCTTATCCACAAATGTTATATAAATAAGTTGCAACATTGAAAACATAGAAAGATAAATATTTTCTTAATTACTTAATAGATTATTGAGGCATAATATGGAAAACAAAAGATATTTCTTAGAAAAAAGAATAGCAAATTCCTATTGGAGTGGAATTTCTTTCAGCGAAATTTTATGTACTAATTCTATATACCATAACTGAAATTCGGACTGCCATCTTTGAATATAAATAATCTATGTAACAAACGCGCATATACATACACTCGTATACATTATATACTTATATATATTAGTAACGCTACACGAAAATTATCAATTTAACTTTTAAACAAACAATTAAGAATAGTAACTCATCATGAAAACTCATATAAATATAAATATTAACTAACCAAATAAACTTGTGATGTGAAAGTTGGTATAAACAACAGCAAGGTTTGAGTGAACTCTGAAGATGTGCATAGCCCTTAATCAGTAGGCGGAGTGAATAATTAAGAACAAACATAAGAAGACTACCATATCAGTCCAATTAGAAATCTTATACACCTTTCACATTAGCCTTGCAACTGAAATTCGCCGTAGAAAGTTCATATAGGTAATTGAAATGGACAACAGGCTGTATTTGGAAGGAAGCCTTGATCGCAGGAAGTCAAAGAAGTGGACGCCAGCAAGTAGGAAGATAAGCTATTGTATACAATAGGAATGAAATGTGTGTGGTAAGCCTTATTTGATATTAATAAAGTTTGCTTTCTCTAGGGCTTAATTTATATGTGAAATTTAAACTGTGTACTGTAAAATTCATTACTGATCTTGTTTCGAGAAATTGTTAATATATGAGAGACATTCATCTATTTGATATTAAAAAATTGGAACGGATACTTAAGAACCGTACAATCTTCTTATTAACAATATGTTTATAAAATGTTAACATCAATGCTTAATTCACAGTTAATGTAATTTCTTTTTTGAGAAATTCTGTCAAGTTATCTATCAATTGTTTGGTGGCATATTAGTTTTTAATATTCCTATTAAATTTCAGCAGCTGCGAATGCTAACTGCTTACATTATGTTAAGCATCACAATGAAAAAGGAAATGGTGTAGCTGGATGTTTGCCAAGCCTTCATATTAAGGTAATATCAATTATTATTTTCCTCCTATTTTATATATAATACAATTAATACATTAAAAGGAACGCATGTCTGATAAATAAAGTCCAATTCTTTTTAATACTATTTGAATTGAGAAAAATAAAATACTAAAATTCTCTACCATTTATTGATATCGTTTAAATTTAAAAGAACATTTCTTCTTGTTAAATTTAAAAGTGTTTATACTGAGTTGAAGGAAAATGATATAACATATAAAACCAGTATGAAATGTAAAAAGGAATCAACAAGTTAGACTCAATGAGTTATACTCCATTGCAGTACATTTTGGAAAAAGTTTAATATAAACATACTATAGAAAATTAATAACAAATATTTTTAAAAAACAATAGAAATAGATGAAGCTCAGAATAATGACAATAAAACAGTGCATTAACAGCAGCTACTTGGGTTAAAACAATTTTTATTGCAGTTCATAAACATGATACGCAACATGTATACGGCAAAATGTAAAATAAAATACTTAAGCAGGTACTATGGACATATCTAGAAATATTAAAATTTATTATTAGGTAGATGACATCACTAAATATAAATATTGCAAAATTTTATGATCAAAAAATGTAATGCATATTATTTTACAAAAAGTTCAACTGTAATAGTGGCCTTAGAATTACTACAATGCTATTAAAAAATAATTTCATATTAAACAAATATTATATTTTAGTATTTCAACTACATACAGCTGATATAATTAAGAATATTTACTTTGTCATTATTTCTAGTATATGTGATACACCATTTACAACTTTATATTGAATTCATTAAAAAATACATTACTATTGATAGAAAATTTTACAAAATAACATGTGTTTTGTAAGGTCAAATTGCAGATGCCAATTGTTAAAATAAAACACAATGTTTGTGCATTAAAATAAAAGAAACACTTATTTATAAACATGTGCATAGTTACTAGGTTTGTTAGACATAAATCTTTGCGCTACAGTTTGAGGATTAAATTATTAGCTCAGCAGTAGCAATTTAGTTCTGCTACAGATATTCTAGTTATCATTTGTTCTATTTATTTGTTGAATTAACTTGCACTTTAATTCCAACTTGTAATAAACATGTCAAACTTTTTTTTGTTATTGCAACATTGAAATTATTTTAATTTCATTTTGGTTTATTTTTCTAAACAATGCACAATTCTAAAAGATCTAGGTTATAAACATCCATAAATAAGAGTTATCCATTATTATTTTATCAATTTAGTGACAATTAACTGTTCTATGTCGCTGCTGTACACATTTACTTTCATAATCTTTGGCCAATACAAGCATTGAAATGATCTTACCTGACATCAAGCAATTTCGTAACAACTTCATCTTAAGAACTTCATTAATTTTAAAAAACAATTCAAAAAATATGTATAATAGTAAATATGTACTAAGATATTATTTAGTTGCTTTCCTATATAAAGGTAAAGCAAGTGTAATATCATAATGATTTAAAGTAGAAAAATGTTATAATTAATGACAGATATTTTAGCTTATATTACCTAGATTACAACAGCAGCAAAAACAGCTAAAAAAATTTAGACTGATATATGATTAACCCTTTTTATACATTAAAAACTACAATGGAATGATCTAGCTTCTCTAATTTGGATATTTTAACAAAAGATCAAAAAAAATAATTAGAAATGAGAAAAATGAAACATCTGCATTGACAGCAAACAAATTACGACAAAACACATGTTACATAATAAATCATAGGTAAATAATTTAATTCGCTTATCTCACCGCCATAGCACATGTTATCTTACAATCTAAACAAGTTTCATACTCTTATTTGGTAAATTAATCTAAAAAGGCAAATTACTCTTAACCTGAAACAATACGTCATACAACCTTTTCGTCGCTAAGCAAGAAATTAATATAAATCACTCTTCCCTTCATTCACCATTCATTCACACGCACATATTTCTTCTTACTTAACAAAGTCTTGAACAGAAATCCGACATTTCGTTCACAAATATAAATACGTCACATTATTAAACCACTACAAACTATATAAAAATTCCCTCATTGCATTTTGACTCGCCATAAGTCTTTAAGATTAGAATAACGTAGCACTTTTAAGATTCCTTTTGCATTAAAGAAATTTGGAGCCCTTAATGACTTGGACATGTAA